GGATAGAAGAATTAGAAATGTAAGAGTAGGGTATATAGTAATATATAGAGCGTCCTTCCTACTATATAGGAAAAGGAACAAACTAATTCTTATCCTTCGGAAAGGAGAGAGCGGCGTCGTATAATATACCTCTGCGCTAAGTATACGTAGGCGCTACGCCGCGTAGGCGGTCGCCCGATAGCCGATCGCCCGACGACTCGGAGCATACTACTTCTATAGCCCGTTCTACCTTAGGCTAACGTACCTTAGGCTTAAATACCTAACCGCCCCCTAGGGCTATATGCCTCTAGGCCTAGCTGTTACAATATAGTAGAAAAACTCGGAACTATCGAAAACTAGATACTTCTTCTCGTCGACGAAAATCTAGCTCGTATAAATACTAATGTCCTATACAACTTTAGTATATAGCTATAGATAAAGAAGACAAAGATAGAGTATAGACAATTCGGTATAGACGAAATTCGAATATAATAATATATAATTATCTACCCTTTAGAACAATCCCTAGAACTATTAGATTGCCTGCGAACTACCGGCGATACGAGTATAGCGACGACGTTGTAAACGAGATTATACGATATATACGCTCTAGACTTCGGGTAGCTGCCTTACAATCTCTTCTCTACGACCAATTTCCGGAAATTCGTTAAAAACGAAAAGATATTAGCAATATCCGTTAACGCTATCGTTATCTTCTACTCTCTAGAAAGACAATTGCTAATACTATACTCAAGCTACTCTAATTAGAAGGATTCGCCTTCCGATACTCGGTAAACTCGAATAGTTTCCTTAAGTAACTACTTTTCGTTTACCCCGAATGCCTAGAGATCTAGGCCCGTTGCCTAGAGATTATCCTTTACGACAATACCTACAAGATTCATCGTTTACGACAACTAGTCTTCGACTTCTACGGTATTACCGGAGGGAATAAGACTATACCCTTTAGCCTTTGTCTTCTAGCCGGGTAGGACGAGAAGTTATATACCTAGGTATTTGAGCAAATTAAAGATATTCTCGTCTAGGAAGAGATCCTAATACTAAACCTTTTAGTTACCAATAGGGATCGAGTATACTTAAATACTATAGAGGCAGTCTTTCCCGAGGTACCCCGACGTATTTGTAAGTAGTATCTTCTTAAGGATATCCTTATATATACCCGTTCAACATTTAAGTAAGAGCCCGAGGAAGAGAGTAGGGAATACGTTAACAACGAAAAGACGGTAGACTAGTATAAATTATTCTAAAAAGTAGTCTATACTCCGGAGGAGGCGGAATTCTATACGATTTGCCTTAAGTTAAAGGCGATATAGCCTAAGGGCTTTGTATACCTCGAGAAAGAATAGCTTCTATTTACCTTACTATAGGCGACTTTTCGTTTGAAACGAATATATATATAGGGTATCCGAGCAACCTCCTAGATCGAAGGTATATATACTATAATAAAAAGTTGGCTTAGGACATTATAGTCTAATACTTACGGTCTCGTCGAACGGCTTCTACTATATTTTCGAATATAGGTATCTAAGTATTAGTAGGAGCTTTCGGAAGAAACGAGCTATACTTTGATCTAAATGCCTTATACTTTTTAGCCCTTCTACCGAAAAGTATACCGTTACGCAATCTAGGAGGTTCTAGCTTAGTATACGTTAGCAACGGATAGAATACGACCTGTCCTACCTTATATAGGTATCTTCTCGTTTATAACGGAACTTCCTTGCTTATACTATATTCGAGCCTATATAGCAGAGGGTAAGACGGTTTCTCTTACAACCGTTAGAGACCGCTAGAAATACGACCGTCGGGTTCTCGTTAAAAACGAGGACATTAGAGAAATCGAGCTACTTCCTTCCCGCTAAGAACAAAGGCAAAAACGCAAACAATTATACTAACTTATTCGATCTCGACGAGAAAAGCCAATTTCGAGTAACCGCCGAGACCTATTGTTAGTAGAGCTTGTAGACAAAAACTACTCTACGTTATAGGCGAGAAAACTAAGAAAGAGGGTAAAGGCTAAAGGAAAAGCAAAGGAGTTAACTACTAAGGAGAATAAGGGATATTTGTTTCAAACGATAACTACTCCTACGAATCCTCCGATTCTATAGTATCTTATATAGACGACATTCTCTTCTTTATAACCCTAGCCCTAACCCTAGTCTACTTAACTCTCGTCCCTACCGAGTACTTAACAATTCCCGCCTCTACCGAGCTAATAATTCCCGCCTCTACCGAGCTAACAATTCCCGCCTCTACCGAGCTAACAATTCCCGCCTCTACCGAGCTAATAATATCCGCCTCTACCGAGCTAACAACTCCTGCCTCTACCGAGTACTTAACAATATCCGCCTCTACCGAGCTAATAATATCTGCCTCTACCGAGCTAACAACTCCCGCCTCTACTAAGTACTTAATAATATCCGCCTCTACCGAGCTAACAATTCCCGCCTCTACCGAGTAGTCAATAATTTCTACCTCCGCTAAGTAGTTAATATCCTCCTCCTTCTTAGTATTCGGTATATCCGAATAATCTAGGAATTGCTCTATAGCTATACTACTATAGCTAACCCGAGTCTTCGTATTAACCGAATAGTCAAAGTAACTCTCCCTATAATTACTCGGAGACAACGAATACTCAAAGACCTCCCTAACCCTAACCCTAACCCTAATAGGAGCAACGGATATCTTGGCTAGGCTATCGATATATATATTCTATAAGGACCTTATTTTAGATACCTTACTAACCCTAGTAGTATAGAGACTAACCGATAGGTTACTTCTCGTTATAAACGTAATATATAGAAAGCCTTACTTTTATAAAGTTCTTACCTATAGTACCCTATATTACTCTTATTCCTTACTTTCGTTGTTCCTTACTTTTATTGTTCCTTACTTTTATTATTCCTTACTTTTCTTTGTTAATTCCCTACCTATATAAGGTAATCTCTCCCCTACTTTCTTCCTCTTCCTTTCTCCTATATCTATATACCTAGCTTCTCGTTCAAAACGTAAAAACAATCTTCTTTCTTTTAACAATAGCTTCCCTTACTATTACTTAGCCTAGCTTTGCCGGTACTAGCCTATTCCGCCCTCTTTAGGAACGCCGCTAGATTAACCGCCTGAATATATAGTAGTTAACTCTCGCTCCTAACGAGAGAAACCGCTATATAGTATATACTAATCGCTAGGGACCGGTATCTCGGCTAGGTCCTAGATATAACGTTAGTACCGAAGGTTAGGTAAGGTAAGTTAATATCCTCCTTTTCGTTAAGAACGAGAAGATTGCTAATAAATTTAGAGATTATTACTAGCGCTAAAACCGTAGTGTATCTAAGTATAATAGCTACTAGGCATCTAACGACGCTATGCCTAGCGATAGAAATATTCCTCTTAGCCTTAATCCTATTGATCTTATACTATATAGTTATACCTAGGCCGATACTATAGTAGAACTTTAGGCAATTCTCTAGGGTATCTAGACCTAGCGTTAAACGAATAATAAGATTACGGTAGGAGAGAGAGAGTCTTCGTTAAAAACGAAAAGTACTAATAAGTTCTAGAAAATGCCTCGTTTATCCCGTACTGCCCTCCGCCTCTCTATTAAGCAACTTATAGAGTAGCCTATCTCTTAGGCCCTTCTTACAAATACTAGTTCTTTAAGAAATACTCTTACTAACCGCCCGAACATCTATATTAACGACTAGCCGGCAAATACCTAAGAATTCGTTTAAAGCGAGAAGTTAGGAAGAGGGGAGAGGGGAGAGGGGAGAGAGGAGAGAGGGAGAGGGGGAGAGGAGAGAAAAGTTCTAGTACTTACTTTAGAGAATTTCCTATATATTCGGTACAAACGAGAAGACAGATATAATATACTTTAGTACGATATACTTTAGTACGACATACTTTAGTACGATATACTTTAGTACGATATGCTTTAGTATAATATACTTTAGTACGAAATACTTTAGATATATATTTCGCTGTAATGCTATATTACGTTGATAACGAGATATAGGGGTGCGTAACGTAGCATTATGTCTAGGGCTACGGTTAGACGAATCCAAGGGCTGCCTATAGCCCTACCGCTATGATAGTCTCTCTCTTACCTCTATGAAACTGTCACTCTGAAACTCTGTCTCGTATCTTCAATAAACGTCTGTCTCTCAAACTCTCAAAAACTCTGAAACTCTCTCTTTTTTCCCTCTTGAAACTTCCTCGCCCTCTGAAACTCTCTCAACATCTGAAACACTCTCAATCTTCTGAAACCCCTCCCTCCCTCCCGTTCTCCAAGTATGTACCTCCTACGAAGAGATCTGTGGAGGAGAAGGAGACCCTGAAACTACAAACGTGACACGTCCGACGGGACTGGGAACACCATGTTGTGTAACAGAAGAACAAACGTTTTATACTACAGTACCTACTTGCCACCTGATGAGTGGAGATGGCGTCTACCTGATCCACTCATGCGTTCACGTGGTTGGTGGACCCCTCTTTTTCTCTCTCTCTCTCTCTCTCTCTCTCTCTCTCTCTCTCTCTCTCTCTCTCTCTCTCACACACACACACACACACACACACCCACCTACCCTCCCTCCCTTCCCTCCCTCCCTTCCCTCCCTCTTTGCCTCACTTACCTTTCATACCTGTACCCTTCATACTCAACCTCACTTGATAATGCCATAAGGTACACACCTATGTACTCCGTCCTACCCTCTCTCCCTGTCAATCTAGTACCTACTACATACCTTAGGTACAGTTACTACATGTATGTAATAATTCTCTCAGGTAGTCTATACCTAGACTTTACACCTCGCTCTCATATTACTTCTCGGGGAGATATATCACCTTACCTGGTACCTCTTACCTTGTTATTGTCGTCGTCTTCGGGTTGGGTATATAAGGTAAGGTAGTGATGATTCTTGGACAAGAAGACCATCGATCTTCTTGGGTACATAGGCACATACATGTATACCTTACCTAGGTAGGTGTTCCTACCTTCATGTAGTGATGAAGAACACAGGACTAGGTACCAGTATACGCGGCATGCATACGGGCTGCGCTTAACAGCAACAAAAGAGTCCACGAGGCGGCAGGATGAGAAAATATAACTGCTGTGACCATTCATTTTCCATTGACAATCCTTCCCATCGACAACATGTACAAGTTACACGCCAGTTTCGAAAATCGACCCCCACATCTGTAGAACTGTCTACCTTATCGATCGACCTCACCTGGAAAAAAAGGGTTAGCAGACATTTCAACACAACTACGAACAGCGGGGGTCTCAACTTACCAAACACCAGATCCATCGTTCCGATAATGGCAACTGCATCAGCGAGCAAATGGCCTCTGCTGACTTGATCAAAGCATGCCAAATGTGCGAACCCAGGCGCGCGAATCTTGCACCGATATGGTCGTTCACTTCCATCACTGACCACAAACACGCCCATTTCGCCCTTGGGTGCCTCAATGGCAGAGTACGTCTCTCCTGGTGGAACAGTGTAGCCCTTGCTGTAGAGCAAGAAGTGGTGGATGAGTGCTTCCATGTTCTCCTTCATGGCTGCTCGGGGTGGAGGTGCAATCTTGTAGTCCTCCACCTTGATGGGACCAGCAGGCATCTTGTTCAGACATTGGTGAATGATGCGGAGCGATTGACGAAACTCTTCCATGCGGCATAGATACCGATCGTAGCAGTCTCCGTTGACTCCGACGGGGACGTCGAATTCGACTTGGTCGTAGGCGTCGTATGGTTGCGACTTGCGCACGTCCCATGGGACACCTGATCCTCGTAGCATCACGCCGGAGAAGGACATGTCCAGAGCGTCTTTGGCGCTGACGACACCGACACCCTTGGTTCGTCCGAGCCAGATACGGTTGTCTGTGAGCATCTCCTCCGTCTCGTCGATGCGGTCACCGAACTGGGTGGCCCATTGGTAAATGTCGTCGAGAAGTCCCACGGGGAGATCCTGGGAAACACCGCCCGGTCGGACATATGCAGCGTGAAGACGAGCGCCAGAAACACGCTCGTAAAATTCCTGCATCTGGTCAGCACATCATCTTCGCATCTTCCCCGTGCTTTTGCCACTGCTCACCATCAGCTTCTCACGCTCCTCGAAACCCCACAGGAAAGGCGTCAAAGCGCCAACATCCATAGCGTGTGAGAGAACCGACATGAGGTGGTTGAGAATGCGAGTAATCTCGGCAAACATTGTTCGTATCCACTTGGCTCTCTCGGGAATCTCAATGTTCAACAGCTTCTCCACCGCCAGCGAAAAGCACTGCTCGTTCGTCATCATGGAAACATAGTCCAGACGATCAAAGTATGGCAGCGCCTGCAGATATGTCTTGTATTCAATCAACTTCTCCGTCCCGCGATGTAGTAATCCCACATGAGGATCCGCGCGAATGATTTCTTCTCCATTGAGCTCGAGGATCAGTCGGAGCACACCGTGAGCAGCGGGATGTTGGGGGCCAAAGTTGACAGTGTAGTGGCGGATCTTGCGCTCATCGGGGCTCTTCGTGTGGTCCGAGGGGACATTGAAGTCCTGGCCAGCGCCAAATGAAGCCGGGTCGGCAGCCACAAGACGAGTGGCATTCGGGTTGGCGGCTTCGTGGGGCGTCGCATATCGTCGAGCGGGAGTCGTGGAGAGACAGCGCAAGGAGGCGGAGGAGGAGGAGGAGGAGACGGAGCCAGAGACAGTGGAGCGTGGCGCGCAGTGGGAAGCAGTCCAGGCAGCTCGTCGGGCGCTCGTGGCCACCAGCCGCGTCAAGGGCGCTGCCATGTGTCGTGTACTCACTCTGCGTCGGGGCGGAGTGTGAGGAGCCGGCGGACAGGAGACGAGTGGCACAGAGCAGAGGATACCGTTCCAGGAGCGGAGATGGAGAGAGAGGGAGGCGAAGAGAGGTCGTCGAGGTATGCTGGCTGGTGGCCAATGGAGTGGACAGTATATCCGAGAAGTCATCATCGAGAACAAGCTCCCGGCCCGACTGTTTCTCCTAGCTTCAATTTTTCTCTCTTTCTCTCTGAACAGCTTACGGACCGGCTACCACCACCTCGCGGTGCCAGCAACTCTGTCTCTTCTACTCTACAACTACCTCCGACAAGGCGGAAAAGGAGCAGAAATGCCTTCGTGGGCGCCCCTCACCAAGGAGCAGCTGGAACAACGGCGCATTGTCAACATCAACGCCGAGACTGTCTCCAACGTAGCCTCGACCGACCTCCCTGGACACTATGGACCGAAGCAGGACGATACCTGGAACCTCGACCGATTCCGCCAAAACCTCCGCATCCAGTTTCACCAGAACAAGCCTCTCGATGCTGCCTTCTCCCTCGTCGGCGTAGATGCGAGCGTCGCCAATGCCCTCCGCCGCATCGCCCTCGCCGAACTGCCCACCCTCGCCATTGAGAATGTCTACATGTATGACAACACGAGCATCATTCAGGATGAGGTTCTGGCGCATCGCATGGGTCTGATTCCACTCAAGGGCGGCAAGGAGGGCTTGCGGTGGATGCAGTGGTTCAAGAAGACCCCACCGGAGAGCGATCACGCAGCATATGCGCAGTTCATGGCAGAGCAAGAAGAAGAGGGCGCAGACCGCTCCGCAAGCACACCCTCAGATCTCAACACCGTTGTGCTGAACCTCAAAGTGGAATGCCGGTGGAAGACGGTCGAGGAGGACGGCGTGGATGGGAAGAAGTTGGCCAGAGAGGGAAGCACAGATCCGACGGAAAAGTACGTCAACAGCAATGTGTATGCGCATCAAATCACCTTTGAGCCTCAAGGTCAACGACAGCCCGAGTTCTTCTCCGGGGAGAATGCCATCAGACCGGTGAATCCGGACATTCTGATTGCAAAACTACGACCTGGCCAAAGAATTCACATGACGATGCACTGTGTCAAGGGCATTGGCGCCGATCACGCCAAGTTCTCCCCCGTGGCCACTGCTTCCTATCGATTACTCCCGGACATCAAAATCACACAACCCATTGTGGGCGCAGACGCGAAGGCCTTCCAAAAGTGCTTCCCCAAGGGGGTTATTGGACTAGAGGAGGACCCTGAGAGCGGCGAGAAGAGAGCGGTAGTCAAAGATCCGTTCAAAGACACCGTCAGCAGAGAGTGTTTGCGATATGACGAGTTCAAGGACAAGGTCAAGCTGGGAAGAATACGCGATCACTTCATCTTTAGCATGGAGAGCTCGGGACAGTTTGACAGTGATGAGCTGTTTATTGACAGTATCAGGGTGTTGAAGCAGAAAGCAACGACTTTCAAAAAGCATCTGGATGCTCTCGAAGAGGGGCGTTGAGCTGTGAACACATGCAACGCGATGATTCATGGTATCACTCATGTCGCTATCGAATGCTGTGCGACGTGATAAGGGAAAGTCCGGGCAATTTGAGAGCGTGCCCTACGATCAAAGCCTCAGATGAGCCACCTTCAGCTCCAAGGTGTTAGCAATAGGTCCGCCTCAAGCGAAGTATTCAGCAGTGGATCCAGATTTCGTGCAATCCTGCACTAGGTTGTGTGGGCGCTGCTGTGCACTGTGCATCGTACAGTGAAATCTCCATAGGGCTATAAGAAGGTCTCGAGAGCGGATTTCGAGTGGCAAGAAACAGTGGAAGCTTACACGACCTGATAGCCAAAAACAGCTGGGAATGCCTCTCGAAGCGCGACAAGACCTCGAGAGGTGTCCGAGTGATAGCAGCGTAGACTGACAGCAGGCGGAGCACATGATTTCTGGCGTGGAGAGCGGATATCACGCAGGTAGGTATATCCACGTAGGTAGTCACTGCCATACGAGATGATGGGAATCCTCCTGCCGCCAACTGCCTACTCCCTCTTTCTGTTTCGCAGTTTACTATACAGTCTACCTAACTTGACAATGGTACATTTTCCATCTTCTCCCTCTCAACACAGACGATAAGAAACAGTTCCATCCCAGTATCCCATCATAAAAGCAGCAACAACAACGAGAAGAAGAAGGAAAAGAAGACAACATGTCCGACAGATACCCAATGATGAATAAGCCCAAACCGCCTCACTCCGACCCCTTCAACGAGGATTACCACCTAGAACTCCTTGATCTTATACGCAGTTTCAAAATCCCCTACAAACCCGCCCCCGACCACATCCGCCATGCAGCCCCCGAATTCCTCAGCCGCCCCATCAATCTCCTCGAACTCCCTCCCACCCTGTCACCACCCTCCCCACCACCAGGTGAAATGTGCCTCCTATGCCACTACGTCCATCCTGCTGCGACCGATCTGGACTGGCCGTCCCCGGGAAGTGGGCCCATCAACTTGACCCTCTGGCCTTGTGAGAATTGGTGTGAGTAGTGCGAGATGAGTTTTCAGGAGGTGGGCTCGTTGAAGAGGCATATCGATCGGTGCCATGGGGCTTTACTTGCGGGGGGAAAGTGTTGGGCCCGAAGGAGGAGGTTTGAGAGTGAGGTTGACAAGGCACTGAAGATTGAAGATGGTCTTGGTGGCGATGATGAGGGTGTTTATCTTGGTGGGATTGATGATGTTGATGATGGTAATGATGGCGGAGGTAAAGGTGGAGGTGGGGATGGAGATGGCGATGTGAACATGGGAGGGACTCCAATCCAGGAGGCTTCTCGAGGCCTGAAAGGGACAGTTGCCAGGCAGAACGCTCCGGTTCAGTCTGGTGAGGAGAGGGAATCTAGTGACGTCGCAGCGAAATTATCGACTCGAGGGAGGAAGAGGAAGAGCGGCGGGAGCAATGCCTCAGAGGGGGAGTGGGCGAGTGGAAGACAGATGAAGAAGGGGGTCATTGTTTCGGGAATAGGTGATCTGGGAATACCAGTTGGACCACTATTTCCTAAAGGAAGAAATGCTCTCGGCAGTCTCGGGGAGAATGACGAAAAGACGCAAATCGACATTGATGCCGAAATCGCCCAAGCGCTGGAGGTTGAAGGAGACAACACCAATCTTCCTTGTCTAACTCATGAGAGTGAAGAATCGCATCCCGAAGACGACCAAAGTCAGCATCACGGAAGGGAGCAGCAGGCAAAGACGGAGGTGAGCGCAGATGCGGATTCACCGCTTGACGAACGTACTCTTCAACTGCTCGCCGGACTCGAACAACATAATGTCGACTCCGATGATGTTATCAGTTATCTAGATGATTCAGACGCAGAAGAGGAAAACTTTGACGACGGCGACAATGACGAAGATGACCACGAGCAGGAGTCCGCCGATTTCGATTCTTCTGATGATGATAATGACAACAAGGACAGTGGTGATGTGGGTACTACTCATTGTTGATGTAGCACACAGCAATCAGGCACCCGTTGCAAACGAGGTAGACGGCGAGGTTGAAGCCCGAGCCAAAGGCCGGCAGTCTATATAGCACAGCTTAATAGACACTCAATTGACAATTAATGGATCTCAATTTTACACTTTAACAGGTTATAAGCCCGGAATTCCGCATCAGTTTCCACACTTCAGATTCATCCTTCCTAATCCGGCTCTGCGCGTACAATACATACCGGTACTAAATGAACGCGCAACCTCAGACTGGAAGCTTCTAATCTATAACTTACGACACTCGGCACAACGAACCGAACCAATCAGACAACACTACATATCGACGTTATAGACCTTTACTCGAATTCCAATCCGTACTTATACTCTTATATTAACATTAGTTATACGAGAACATTGACCTACCTTATACAAGCGACAACAAACGACGAATCTTATACAGAAACCTACCGATCTACGAATACGTTATATACGGCGAGAAAAGCGATCGGGAGAAGACTGTTATTCTCGGCAAAAAGGACGTATCAAGTTATACTGCTTACGGCTACATAACAAAACCGAAACATAAGAAACCTTAACCCTATCTTAACGCTAACCCTTAGCGTTTATAGTAACGGCAACGCAAACAATATAAGGATTACGCTAACAATTGGAATTATATATAGTCCGAACTATTAAGCTCTTAAAGGCTATATATTAACCTTACTACCGTTACTAACTTAATCGAGAAAGGGTACTATTAGTGACATTACGAGTTATCTTTATATATCGTTCAAAAACACCTACTTTCACTTTCCGACTAAACTATATTAGACAACGCTAAATCGCCTCTACTTACTCGCCTCGATAGCCTACTTCAATAGTCTACCTAGCGTTCTCGGATTATTAACAAAATTATACTCTACGGCTACGGCGTTACGGTCTTAACCGGCAAACGTACGCTAATCCGGCGCCTAGCCGTTACTACTATAGACGATACCCCTAACGTCGCTACCGAGAGTAAAGAGGCCTTCTATATTCGTCTTAAGAACTAGACTAAGAAACAGCTTAGCGCCTATATACTAGTAAAAGAATACTATAGACTAATTGCTTGTATACTTCTAGAAACTGCCGAAAGCATTAACGAGCTAATCTATACTACTATCGATATACGCCTCTAAGCCGAATTCGAACTCGCCGGATTAGGCCGATACTAAGAACTCTGCTATAACTTTACTAACCTTACCCTTGCCAAATATACTAATATATCCGAATACAGCGCAAATTTCACTTAACTATACGATAAGATAGTTACTATCTACGTCTACCTAGCGTTACCGGAACTATTTCTCGTCTAGGCCTACCTCGGAGGCCTTAGTAACCTATTCAAGGAATTTATTACTACGTTCAACCTATAACATTCACTCGTTCCTACCGCTATTAATAGTATCGTCTAGATAGCCGTAAGCCTAGCGGTAGTATATCGAAAGGTAGAAGAACATGCTAGCCGTATTTAGTTAGACAGTAATATTACGCTCTATAATAGATAGCAACGGCGTAGTATATTACTCGACAATCCGGTCTGTTAACACTATAGTAAGCGATATAAAGGCATATACTAGACTATCGACTCTAGCAAGGTACCGAAGGTATAGATCGAACGCAATTCCGCTTAGCAATCGGATTAACTACCGAAAAAGCGTAAAACTACCGACGACGCCGTGTTCGGCGACAAAGCTAACGTTAAAAACGAACAACAGTATAACGTAATGCTCGCCGGCGATAGTAAAGACGAAGCCGTCTACTTTACCTTATATAATACTACTCGTAAATATATAGCTATTTACCGCGGCATTAACCTTTACAATTGTTTTATACTCGATAGTAGAGCTACCGGCTTACTAATTAGACGAAAGGATCTCTTTATGCCTAGTACCTATACCGCTATCGATAACGCAGCCGAATCCAACGGTATCGGAGGTATAAAGCTTAAACTAGTCGGTTAAGGTACACTCCGAATTAGGTATAGTAACGGTCGCTAGATCCAAATCCCGAATACGTAGTATTTACTAAACGCCGGCGTCAATCTGCTATTACTAAACGCTATATAGCTATATATCCAGACTATTACAAAAACTAACGACAGCCTTACATTTACGTAGAGAGGTAACGAATTCTTAGCAACTATTACCGGAGGCTTGCTTATACTCGATACGTATAGTAAATGACTTATACGGCAGCTCTCTATCGATACCGGATTCTACGGCGCCGCCTATACTATAGACAAATCACTCCGACTATAGTACGAACGAATAGTATATCTTAGCGAAAGAGGGCTTCTAAAGCTCCGTAACCTGTCTATAGGCATAGAAACTATACGCAACGACGCCTACTATATCTGTAAAAGTTGCGTATTAGGCAGACAATCGGCAAAACTATATAACTATTATCTACTAAGGGGCCGTTACAAGATAGACGTTATTTACGTAGACGTCGCCTACTTACTAGTCGAATTATTCGACGGTTGTAAATACTTTGTTACTATTATCGACGATTTTACCTAATAGGCCGTTACTAAACCAATTCAACGGCGCTTAGACGTACCAACTATAGTCTAGGAGTTTATTACGGCCTATAGTACCCCTAAGTACTTTACTACTCTAATTATTTAAGATAGAGGAGGTAAAAATATAAGCGATAGTTACTACAGATAGTTACGAAGTAGAGGGATTACTTACTATCTCTCTAGTACCGAGCAATACTAGCAAAATAGCACTACCGAGGCCTACAACAAAACTATCGAATACAAAACTTAGTCTATACTACTAGCTTTACCTAGTCTCGACGTTCGTTACTAGTTACCGGTAATTGAATACAGAATTACGTACCTCCGTAATAGGTTACCCTACCGTAGACTCGTAGTTACTCTATACGAGGTATAGATAGGAGACAAACCGTACCTAGCAAATATACGAATTATCGGTTGTATTGCCTACGTCTATAAACTAACTGCTAATATAGACAAACTAGTAGGTATAAAGGCTAGAGTCGAACGACTACTAGGGTTCAAGGGCAACGGGTATTACCTAGTTACCTTAGACAACCCCAAGCGCCTATAATAGCGCTACGACGTTGACTTTAATAAACTATACGCTAATTGTACTAATATTACCGAATGCGATAGTAACAGTAATACGGAATCTACTACCGACGAAGTTACCGCTTTAGAGTTAGAGGGAGAAAGCAGTACAACAACTCAAAAGCGAGTAACTATAGCTTCCGATAAATTATCGAACAAACGACAACGCACCGACAGCGAGTTACTAAATACTAACTATACTAGCTACGGCTAAGACTGCGAGTCGTAACGCGATAGTTACGATAGCTAGGAGTTACCGTATATAGGCTACGAGTTATTATATACTGCAAACTACGAGCTAACGCGGCTAGACTACGAGTTATAACGACAAACAATACTACCGGGGTATGCATTAAAATTACGCCCTAAGACAGTCGGTATCGACGTGCTACCCTCTAAGCTTATTTAGGAAGGCAAACGAAAGCGTAAACCAAAACACTACTACTAGTACTACTAAAACGACGCTTCCAAATTCACTAACTTTAACTTGCTACTCTTTATACTTATGACTGCGTTACTAGTAACAGAACCCTATAAGCCGATATTATACGACGACGTACGTTACTACAGTAGTAGATAGAGTAACTAGAAGCTAGCTATAGACGACGAGTACAAGTTACTACGATATAACTTAGTTTAGACAATTATTAAACGTAACGTAGCCGATAGCAAGATACTTAAAGGAAGATAGGTATTCAAGCTTAAAAGAACCGGAGATACTATAAAATATAAGTGTCGATAGGTAGTAAAGGGTTTTATATAGGATAGTAAATACCTTGAAACCTACGCTTCGGTAGTAAAACCGATAAGCTATAAGGCATTGTTCGCTATCGTAGCCGCTAAGGACTACGAGATTAAGCAAATAGACGTTAAGACAGCTTTTCTATATAGTAAACTTAGCTAGGAAGAACCAATCTATATAGAACAACCAGATGGATTTACTAATAGAACCGATAACGTATACCTGTTACTTAAGGCACTTTACGGACTCCGACAGTTACTACGTATCTAGTATACTACACTTACCTCGTACTTAGAACTTGCCGGCTTTACTACTCTAGATACCGATATAAGCGTATTCGTAAAGGGCGAAACGTTTATAGCAGTCTACGTAGACGACTTACTAATAGTTAGACTATATATCTCGGAAATCAATAGCGTAAAGAAACACCTTAGTAACCGTTTTCAAATAAGTAACCTCGGCCTATACTATTACTATCTCGGTATAACAATCAAACGAAATCGAGCTAACCGTACTCTTTACCTTAGTCAATACGACTACATCGAATAGTTCCTTAAGAAATATAATATATAGGACAACGTCAAAATCAAAGCGATACCGATAGACCTAAGCTGTAAGTTACTGCCTATAAGTAACGGATACTAGGTACTAATAGCGTTTAGAACTAAGTACTAGAGCGCGGTTAGGTTACTAATATACGCTATGCTCGGTATACGACTAGATATCGTATACGTAGTATTAGTCGTTAGCAGATTCGCTAGTAACCCGACGAGCGAGTACTTTACGGCGGTTAAAGATATATTCTGCTACCTCTATAGTACAATTTACTACTAACTTATATTTAGCGGCGAACTTACTACCCTCCGAGGGTATACTAACTTAGATTAGGCCGGTAATACCGATACGCGACGATCGACATCCGGATATACGTTTAATCTAGGCAGCGGTACTATTATATAGAGCTTAAAACGATAGCCTATAGTAGTACTTTCTACGTATAAAGCCGAACTGATAGGCTAGACGCAAGTATATAAAGAGGCAATTTGGCTAAGACGGTTACTAGAACAACTCGGTAAACGACAGGCTTAAGCGATAGTAATCTTCGGTAATAACGTCGGAGCTATTGTACTTGCGAAGAACCTATAAGCCTATTACGCGCGTACTAAGCATATTCCTATTTAAGAGCGATAGCAATACGAGAAGATAGAGAGTAAAGAGCTAGACATATAGTAGACGCCAACCAATCGTATAGTAGTAGATAGGCTTACTAAGCCGCTGCTAAGGCCGGCGTTCGTCGAATTCAGAAAAGTACTTAGAATTTATAAATCGGCTGAATAAGTCGATTGTAGCAACAAAAACTAATACCTGCAACAACTAATAGCCTTTTCAAGAGCTCTTATTAGTCGAAAACGAGACGATAGGAGCGGTATTGATGTCTGAATACTAAGGTAGGGGGATGTTGATGTAGCATACAGCAATCAGGCACCCGTTGCAAACGAGGTAGACGGCGAGGTTAAAGCCCGAGCCAAAGGCCGGTAGTCTATATAGCACAGCTTGATAGACACTCAATTGACAATTAATAGATCTCAATTTTACACTTCAACACTCATGATGCTGATGAACCAAGTAAGTGGAAAGATGAGCAGATTAGTTCACATGCTTGAGAGGAGAGAGAGCAATGCAGTCAAGAAATTGTGCTAATGATGAGACCAAGGTCGCCGGGTGTGATGAAGCGGAATTGTGATTTCTTCGGAAGACGAGCATACTAGAAAAACGGAATGAGGATAATGACAGAGATGGAGACGGTCATTATATTTTATTCGTGTTCCCTGGTCACGAAGTTCGTGATACCGTACATGCAGATGGGAGCACTTGGAAAATGTATCTTCCTGGAAGAATTGTGAGCACGCAGGGGATGATGGCCTAGAGGAAAGGACTTCTTTGTGAATATCCGGGTTAGGGGGTTGTTATTGTGTAGGATGAAGAAGGGAGGTGAGGATTACATCCATTGATTGATACCTAGATTACTTGAACGATAACTGGGTACAGTATAGAATGAGAGGAGGATATATAGTCTTCGTATCCTAGGGAGATTCATTAAGTTGATAAGTAGGATCAGAATAATTGATTGAATGTATACATGTATACATGACTAATTGAAAGTTTTGAAGTAAATAAACAGAGGAGTGAGTATGTGTATAGGTAGGTATCGCACCAAAATTTGTTATAGGATTGTTTTCAGAATACACTAAATTAGCATTTGAGTACCTAGGTAAGGTATAGATTGAATTAGACTAAACTAGACTGTTTCTCTCTCTGTTCCTGAAAATTCGTTCTGTTCTGTTCTCTCTCCTTTTTTTCTCTTTGCTGATTTACGCTGTGTTGTGCTGGTCTGGTCTGGTCTGTTCTGCTGTCTGGTCTGTTTTTGATACCTGTTTTTCGTCCAATTGCGCGCGCGAGAGACAGAAAAAGAAGTCGACTACCTAGCTACTCTCCTCCTCCTCCTCCCCCTCCTCCTCGATGCGCCAGGCTGTCGTTGTCAATCATTCTGTCGTCGTAGTCGTTTTGGGACTAGTTTCATTCGATAGGGAGTTGAGAAAACAGGTACCATCACCACCACCGCCGCCAACAGCAACACCTCCGAAATTCAATGGGATTCCGTTTTCGAGAATGATGGATCTGCGCTGGTTCATTCTCACGGGGCTGAATCTGCGGACTTGGGGTGAGGAGGGAGGTGAGGAGGGGGTGTGTGGTCTGGGGATGATGGAGTCTTCTGTTGAGGAGAGAAGAAGGAGAAGGGAGTTAGCGTTGAGAAATGAGGATCTGGAAGAAGTGAGTGGGAAATACATACCTGATGAATCTTCTTCGTGGCCCTCGATGATGATATTATGAACACGGTCGTCGTCGTCGTCGTTTTCGTCGTTGTTTTCGTGGTTTTCGTGGTCATTCCTCGTCTCCATCAGGTACCCATCACTACTAGAAGTAGTAACAAGAAAATCCACCGGACTCTCCTTCAAAATGGCCTCTGCAGGAATCTGATTCACAGCCAAATACTCATCTTCATACTGTTCGGGCTCCAAGCCTTCAATGACAATGCCCAAACTATCCACTACTTCTTTGACGCTCAACAGCCTCGTAATTTTGCCACAATCGATTTCCAAAATCCTAGCGGGCGATTTTCCACTTCCACTATTGCGCTGGTTCCATTTCATAGCCCAGTCTTCGGCGTGGAGGAGATCGGTGAAAATGGATATGAATGGACTTCCTCCCGAAGGAGCGGAAGTGGAAGTCGAAGTGGTACGTCGAGAAAAGGAGGAAGATTTATGATCGGCGTAATTCCAGTCCAGATGATCATATGTGAGAGATTTCAATTTCTCGTCTGTGAAACCTCGTGAAGGGTTGGGGAAGATGGATGAGGCTTGCAGGCCGCCGATGGTAGTCACTGTAGTCCACGCTCCGGGGTATTGGACGCGATAGCCTCGCGGGGGTTTGTTGTGGTTGTGGCGAAGTCGCATCCAGACGGGGAGATTGGAATGGTCGTATTGATCGCTGGAAGATCGTTTGTGGCGATTGACGATGCGGGCAGATGACGAGGAGCTGGGGTGGGCGATGACGGGAGATGGTAATAGGTTTAGGTGTCGTTGTGGTTGGTCGGGGCCGCCAACGAGGAGATGATTGCGGAGATCTTGGAGAATGGCTATGGCTCGATCTAGAGTGGCGAGGGGAGATTCTTCTTCTGCTTCTTGTGGTGGTTGTTGTTGTTGTTCTTCGGTGAGTGAGGCTTGGAGGGTGGAGATGGCTCGTTTGATGGCCTTTCGACTTTGGCGTCGCAGATCGGCATCTGTGGCGTCGTCCATGACGGCTGGGCTCATGCTAGGCATCGCTGCTCGTTGACCACGTCGACGGTGTCGTCCTGGGGCCAATATTTCGCAGAGAAAGGAGGAGGAGTATGTTGTGGTATAGTTGAGCCGGCGGTGGTGGTTGTAGACTGGTAATTGTGATGAGGGGGATGGCCCGCCTAGCGACCAAGTATTGAGTTCAAAAGGGTCTCACCCTGACACGCTAAGGTTCAGCTCGCCATCGACGCCATGCACAGATACTGACAGCTGTAATATAAGGGAACGATCAGCCTGACTCTCGAATGTTGTGGTGTGAGTGTGCTGATTGGTGGAAGTTGGCGAGATATGGCCCCATCGAAGCCTCGACATGACACGGAGTCGGTTAAGGTGAGTAAGAATCTTGATATAGCGACAGAAGGTGACTACAATAGAAGTCATTTGGGGCAGCTGAGGTTGTCGGGAGGAGAGGAGAGGGGGAGCGGAAAGGGGAAATGGGAAAGGGGAGGGGGCGGTGGTGGTGAAGGGGGCGGTGGAGGCGAGGGCGGAGGCACAAGGCGGCGGTGATGATAGAGGACAGAAACAAGCCTTTCGGGTCGGGTAGATCTAGTGTCAGAATGGCCTATTAATACCTACCTTAATACCGCACACTCTTGCCAAGTCGAATCGAGTCGACTGAGGTCCCCTCCGGAGGTTCGCTGTCCGTCCTCCGTCCTCTTTCGAATCTCCTTCACTTACATACACCCTCATCCCCCCTCCTCTCTCTCACCCCCTATTATATTTCTACCCTTTTATCTCCTCCACTACCATCATCTCCTCTCCGCCGTCGTCACATTCCTCACCATTCGCACCGAGCAGTTCCCTTGCTCACTCACTATACCATACCCCACACCACATTCCAGCCTGTTGACCGGAAAACACTCATATCATGCAGTCGACTATGGCAATATTCCCGACAGTGAGTTCATCTCGAACGACGGACCAATGCACTCGTCATGGCGGTCCATGATTTCATTCGGTCGAGTTCGGAAGAAGGGAGACAGACTTGAAATTGCTGCTATACTTGTGTTCAATCATATCTATAGCAATACCTTCCGTTGGTCGGATCCAGGACGTCTCCCACTCGGACTCCTTCAAAAATGGGAGAAAGCTGGATCTGGTCGTCCATGCCGATGGCGGGCGCTGGCGGCGCTGCGAACAGTCTGTCAGATGGCGGGTGTACCCCTCAGAGTGAAGACTTTTTGGGAAATCGGAGACTTACATTGAAACAAGGTCCGCATGTCATTATACGCGTCCGCGTTGGGCAGTGTCGTGACTCTGGCATCAAAATCAATGTAGAGCCATAAAATGGACGCTCGGTCCAGTGCTGAATGATGAAAAAAGAACCATGGATCGCTTGGTGAGGCTGGGACGTCCACTTGTGTGCCGAGAACGAACATGTGCGGTATAGTGTGCAGTCCAAGTGGCCACATTTCAATATACGTGTTAAACGTGTTGGCCTCTGCAATGAAACATTAGTGTTGGGACTGGACTTGCAGAAGGCCATCATCATCATCATCATCATCATCATCATCATCATCATCATCATTCGGAAGACTCACCATTCATGTCCTGGATGCTATGTAGCATATTATCGTAGGTGAGGTTTTCGAGCATGGTCAAGTCCCATTGGCGCTCCAGACACCGTTCATTGAACCCGAGGCCATCATCTTGCGGGTTGGGTGTACACGCGTGACTACCAGCCACGGGACCTATATTGACTTTCCAGTCCGCAAAGGGCCCGTCCGTGATACATGAACATCCTTCTGACGGCGTGTTTGCTTGCCCGTTCCCGCTCAACGACGTGTCGGAACCGTCAAACATGGGCCACTGCTCGGGAGGTTGGTCTCTGTATCGCGGCCAGTCCCAATATGCCAGACCTGCAAGTGCATTGTCAGCATCCTTTTCACGACGACGACGACGACGACGACGACGACGACCATCACCACCACGACCACGACCACGACTCACCTCCTCCATAGCCACATTCGTCCCGAAGTGCCTTTTCGAGTTGAAACAGGAGCTCGCGATGGAACGGGATCAACCACGGTGACCGGTGCACATCATATGTATGCAGCAGGTGTGCAACGACAAAATCATCCCATCGGTTTCTCGCCCCTGGCGCGATGTCCGGTGGTGTCTGTGATGGTGCGTTGTGGAGGCACTTGCACGCGTCGATGAAGCTCCTACGCTCGTCTTCACTCATGTCGCCCCTGAATCAACCCCCAACAATAACAAAACACTCGTCAGTATATATGTATATCTCTCTCTCTCTCGGAGTTGCTGGCTGGGATGGTTTGCTGTCCTCTTCCCTTCCTGCCTGCCGAAAATAACAGAAAAAAAGAGTCGAATCACTCACCATTCCTTGCGCACGATGATTCTGTCCTCTGTGCAGTCGCCGCCGGCATGGACGCGGTCCATTAAGCGCGCCATGTAGCTTTCCTGTAGGTCATGCAGTACGCCCTCTGCATCTTCTACCTCTTCTGCATCCGGGTGATTTGCCAAATCATCCCACAAGTCCTCTTGGGGTGTGAATGATATGCCTGCTTGGTGTTCTACGGGCTCTGCAAAGGCCAGTACCAGACTTGCAAGCCATAGTGTGGAAAGGATCACCGTCACCAAGGAGGAGCAGCGCTGATGGAGTAGTCGACGCATTGTTGTTGTTGTGTGTTTGTTTGTTTGGGGATGTGGAAAGCGACAGGACGGGCAGCTGGGGGGGAAACATCTATATGATTACAATGTAACATTCATGGATGATAGCGCTGGATGATCGCGCTGGTAGAAGACGAAGAAGAAGAAGAAGAAGAAGAAGATGAACAAGGACGACAGACGACAGACGAACGGACAAGGTGTTGTCGCATCATCCATCGAAGGTCTCGGAGAAGAAGCGAAGACGATAGAATTGAATGGATGATGATAGGTTTGAAGGGGAAATGGGCCGCTGGAACCCTTGTCTCCCTTTCTTCCCTTTGAACACTTCCTGTCAACATACTTTCGTATCAGCATGATCCTGGGAGGGATGGATGGATGGGGGGTGGCTGTTGTTAATTCTAAGTTAAGCCTCCTGTAGGTACTGTATCGATGTACCTGTGCACTCTCTGGATGGAGGGAGAATTATACCAGCCCCCTCTTTCTGTCTCTCCTTTTTTTATCTATGAAAATGCCAAAAACTGGATACACAGTGACAACAAGAAAAAAAAAGGATAAAAAGAACCAATTCAACCACCCACCCCCAAACGAGCGATTATCGCGACCGCAGTATTCTTTTCTCTCCGTTGACAATTCCACCCGTGTATACCTATGTGATGGATGACAAACGGGAAATTGGACGAAAATTTGACTTTTTTCTTTTCCGCTCGTGAAGCTTTTTTCTTTTGCCGCTGCCCTGGACAACGACTGGGAAGATGCAAAAAAAGTAAAATATGACCGTCATCACAGTTTACAGTCACACGAAACTGGACATGGTTAGGTTGGCCGAGCTCGCCTAAAAGCAAAGGAAGAAGGAAAATGGAAAATGGAAAATGGAAAAAAAGGAAGGTTTCCTGTTGGTGCACTGGTGACTGGTGAGGGTGATGATGATGATGGTGATGATAATGGTAAGCGAACCCATCGACTGTCATGACAACGACCTCGTCGACGTATATTAAGTTCATGTTGATGATGTTGTATATATAGGAAAAAGAGAGCCGACCGTGCCTGGGACTACATGTCAATGTCAGCATCGGCTCACTTGTGAACAGCCTATTCTCGCATCCACTCTCGACAGGTACAGGTATGTACCTGGTGTGAGGTATACGAAGCTGACAAGAACAACAACAACAACAACAACAACAAATGAATGAATCAACTCACCCACCGTCGTCGTCGCCGTTTATTACGGCAACATTCCTCCTCCTTGCAGTTGAGAAATGATGAATTCTGTTCCCAATTTTTGTGTCGCTTCATCAGATCCATATGATAAATGCTGAGGAGTGAGTCCGAATCCGTGGAGAGAGTCACATATTCCATCGCCCTAGATGAGATATATGTAATCAGTATTCAGTCAATATCCTGAACGGGATAGACATATATGAAGTAATATAGCAAAACAGAAAGAAAAGAACGAGAAGGAGAAAGAAATCAAAAAGAAGAAGAAAATCAAAAAGAAGAAGAAAATCAAAAAGAAGAAGAAAATCAAAAAGAAGAAGAAAATCAAAAAGAAGAAGAAAGTCAAAAAGAAGAAGAAAATCAAAAAGAAGAAGAAAATCAAAAAGAAGAAGAAAATCAAAAAGAAGAAGAAAATCAAAAAGAAGAAGAAAATCAAAAAGAAGAAGAAAATCAAAAAGAAGAAGAAAATCAAAAAGAAGAAGAAAATCAAAAAGAAAAATAAAAGGAAAAGGAAAATCAAAAGGAAAAGGAAAAAGAAAAAAAAGGAAGAAAAAGGAAGAAAAAGGAAAAAAAAAAGGAAAAGAAAAGAGAAAAGAAAAGAAAAGAAAAGAAAAGACAATTTGAAACAGAAAATCAAATGGAAAATCAAAAAGAAAAGAGAAAAAGAAAAAACAAAAACAAAAAAGAAAAAAAAAAAAAAAAAAAAAAAAAAAAAAAAAAAAAAACACAACTCACAGAAATACAAACATCCCTCGTCCTCTCCACCCACCCCCCCTCAATCCCTCCCTTTCCATTTCCCCAAACCCCCAAAATCCCCCTCGAATCCCTCGTACTCCCCTCTCCAAAATTATCCACATTACATTCCAACCCGGGCTGACGAGATGGATTTCCCACCAGAAACACCGCCTTGACTGCATCTCCATCTCCATCTTCCGATGATGATGAGAGACTGGAGAGCGCGGAAATGGTCGCAGAGGCACCTTGAGAATAGCCTTGGAGAATAAAACATTCGTTGGGTTGGGATTGGAGGGTTGTGCGGATGTAGGAGATGATCTAGATGAAGATGTTAGATTGGGGGAAGAGGAAAAGAAGGAAAAAAAAGGAAAAAAAGGAAAACATACATCATCAGTCCCATACTCCGAAATCTGATCCAAGGCCGCTCGATAATTCGTATTATACACTTTGCCTCCAGGAAGTTGTGAGAGAATGTTTTGATTCATGGTGAGGAATTCGGGACAAGGGCCGGGTGGTTCGCCTGTTCCGCGGGTGTTGATGATTGCTGATTTTTTTTGGATTTGATCAGAAAAAGAAAAGTGTCGTCGTCGCGGGAGAGGAATGATGATATTGTTGGAGGAGGAGGAGGAGGAGGAGGAGGAGGAGGAGGAGGAGGAGGAAGAAAAGAGAAGCACACTTACTGTAGCTACTACATGTGGAAGTTTGTCGTTTTTCACTCTTCTTCATTACTGCTGCTGTTGCTGTAACGGCAGAAGAGCAGGCCAGTGTGAGGAGGAGTGTACAGGGATGGGTGGCAATCATCTTGTCTTGGAAGACTTTTTTTGCCTTTATATTCGCTTCCTTTTAATGCTGTTGTTGTTGTAGTATGAATCGTAGAAAGAGGAGGTCGTCGTCTAGTAATAAGGTTGAAAGGAGAGAAAGAGAGAGTGTGTGTGTGTGAGAGAGAGAGAAAGTTGCGGTAGGAAGAAGATACTTCATATCCCATTCATTCCCAGATACAGGATAAAATAACATTTCTTCTCGAACAGACAAGAACAAGTAGTACGTACCTTACTGTATAACTACGTCGAGAGTATAGTACCCACACTGTACGGTTAGACCATCCTCCCTCAAGGCTTAATTTGAAAGCTGATATTGCCCTCATTTGAGCGAGAGAGAAATACTTTTTTCTGATCGGTTAAAATATCCCCGGATGTCATACCTCCTACACTTAGACTTCTTATTTTTTTCGCTCTAGTCTCTGCACTGCCCTATTCGAGAATGGTACTGCCGAAATTTGATTTGGTTTTTATTTTTCTGGTGATGATCAATCTTCATTATCACAAGTGCTAGTTCAAATGGTTCTTCGTATTCTTCTATTGAAGAAAGAAAAGGAGTTCCCCCTCTGCACAGGGCTAGGATCCCATTGTTGGTAAAACAAGCAGATAAGCTAGGGATCCCCCAGACTGGACGACGGTCCTCGTGGCGTCTGGAGAGTATAAACCACATGAAATGTGGAGAAAAAGCGTGGTGTCAAAAGTGTGAAACCGCAAAGTGAAGAAAGTTTCTTTCGAGACCGAGACAAATCCTCACTTGCCAAGCATAAGATCTTACTCCTCTACTCTACTTACTGTACATCCAACAGATTCATACCAGGTATGATACTCACATCAGATGTTAGTTAGGTACTTTCCAATATGTACTCGCTCTCTAACCATTCAGATACCCTACCTGACCTTACCTCTTCCAACGGCATCTCGATTCTAGATCTCTCTCTCCGTCTCTCTCTGTCTCTGATGAAACTCCAACATTCCCAGACTGGGATTTTGATCTTCCTTGTCTCCCCATCCCAAGTACATAGATGATAGGTGGAAATATATATGTCCTGTATCATCATGCAGCGGCGAACGTGTACGATGAAGAGCAAGTCTGGAGTGTGTTGTGGAAAAAAACCCCCCCAGCTCATGCACTATGTACAATTGTACATACTTCGAGACAGGAAAGACTTTCAAACAGGGAAGAAATTCCCACTTGTGATGAACAAGACTGTGAGGTGTTGTTACAAAGAAGTACTCGAGTCTAGAGTCCTGGTGACGAAACAATCGCATTCTAGGAGGTATCTCAATTCTCAAAAAGAAAAAAGGGAAATGAAACGAGCGGCAAACAAAACACCGAAAACATTGACGCCACAAATCATGCCGTGCTTCCGCCTGTCGTCGTGATTCCTTGCATACCTGAGCTCTCGTCCAACTCCCGTGCTGACCCGTAGTCCTTCTACTTCTTCTCCCTCCATACCCAACAAACAGTAACCGTGTGATGGATACCGACTTCAATCGTCCTCGACGACAATTTTTTTCGTCATGCTTTCAACCACTTTGCCATAGAAGCGCTGAGCATGGTTGCGCGGAAAGCAAATTTCCTCGCTCAGGTAGTCTGGTAATAGCTCCAGCAATTCTCGATCGCGGCTCTCGTCCAGTACCGGCTCGTATGCAAATTCGGCCTCTTCGTGGCTCAGACCAGAAGGCGTCTTGGGGTTGGGAGTCGTAGCATCGTTGCCGACCGAAAGGTGGAATTGCAGCGCTGATGGTCTCTCTGTTAGCATCGCAGCAAAAACTTCAAAAAAGACACGAGCATCGCATCGACTTACTCCCATTCCTGCCTGTTTGTATGCAGTTATACACATCCTCGCCCTCATGTCGCCTCACACCGCTGATGATGAGGCCGGTCAGATCGGCATAGAGGTTCTCCTTCATCTTGGCCTCCTTTTGTGACTCGGACTGATTAACAGATATGCTGCTATTCTTCTTGGCAGCTGCCTCGAGCATCTTCGTCTCCTGTGCCGTGTTCGAAATCTGTTGCCGTGCCGCATTCAATTTCGCTTCTAATGATTTGACTTCGTTCTCCGACACCTTGAGCTTCTCCTTGAGCGCGTTGCATTCTGCGCTAGTCTTTTCGTTGGTAGCCTCCAGGTTCGTGATTTGCTTTTGCATGCCCGTGGTTTCTGACGATGCCGACGAGGACGACTGTTTTGCTTCCGCAAGCTCCTTCCTGAGCGCTGCAATCAACTCTTGTGCATCCTTGGCCTTTTGATCACTGGCTCGCTTCAGCTTCTCAAAGTTGCTCTCTGCACTTCTCTTCCCAATGTCCTCGAGGCTTTCGTACTTGAGATGCAGGTTCTCGTATTTCTTGGTCATGTCATGAAGTAGTCTGCGCAGCTCCGGATCACCGCCCCGTCGTTCGGGCGCGTTCGCACTCCCTTCTCTGGATCGTGCAGTGGGATATGATGGCTGGGCTGAAGCGGCGCGCCCGCTGGGTCGTGGCTGCAGGGGATCGGTACGCGCACTGGGCCGTGGAAGCAGAGGCTGGACCGGTACTGAAGGCGCGCGCTGTGCGAATTTGCGCGCTGGGGGCGGAGTTGGCTCCCTCTCAATGTCCATGTTCTCGGGGTCCAGTTCAATCGACTGCTCTACATCTTCCATGTACTGCGGATCAGGCTGTGTCTCCGGTATGGTGACCATGGGTTCCGGTGAAGGTACTCTCTTTGCGGGGCGTCCTCGCTTCGCGCCCGTTGCCTTCTTCACGGGCTCTCTCGCAGCGACCTCATCCGGAGGGCCTTTTGCATTGTTGCGCGTCGCTGCCGTCTTTGCGCGCTTCGCCTTGGGCTTCACGGCCGCATCGTCGGCGTCAAAGTCGTCCACTTCTTCCGTCTCATTGCCATCTTGCAGATTCGTCTTGTCCTTCAACGCAGTTCGGGGCTGTCGCGTCGCAGCTTTCCGCTTCGTGGCGACCGCCTTGCTCGCGCTCACTCGTCGGACTGCCGTCTTCGCCTTGGACATTTTCGCGGTGGATGTAGTCGCTCGTTTGGGCGCATTGGTGCTGAGAACGTCCAATTCATCTTCGCTGTCGGCTGCTCCTGCGGCGGCGTGCACTTTGGTTCGAGGAGGCATGATGGAATGTCGTATTGTCGATGTGCGCGTGTAAAATGTTCCATGGACCAGGCACACGCGACGCGCAGTCTGTTCATCGATTCACGTCAACATTGAAAGTAAACAATCGGCTGCGCTTACCCTTTGCGGCATGGGTGGGGCCTTGGTCGCGTTGACCTTCCACTACGGAGTGGTTATATCGCTCGACGCTGGATTTTCTGCTAAAAAAACGCCGCATCTCTTATTATTCCCTCCACGTACTGGACTGCCTGGACACTACATGTGCCATGCCATCTCCACCACTGGCGCGACGCTGCTGTTGCCTCGCCCTGGTATAGGCCATCGTACGCGCCCAGACTGCCACCTTCGGCTGCCACCCACCTTTCCCTTTCCTTCACTTCACACTCTCGTCTTCACTTCGCACTCATCTACCACTGGTCACTGGTGTACCCCCACGACCATCGAGACTCTTGCCACCCGCTTCGCCGCGAGGTAACTGTCACCGCGTCTGAACGTCGGACGGTGCGATGCCTAGACGCAGATGGACCTCGAACCCATCCAATCGTCCATCACACGCAAATGAAGCATGCATTGAAGCACTCTAAACTCCAGCTCCGGGGTGACCTCCGGCACGTCGATGCCAGGCCGGCGGCGGGTCTATACCAGGGCGAGTGCTGGATGATGATATCACTTCTCACCCGCACCTCAGCGGCCTCACCAACATGGACAGCCTCCTTGCGAATCAAAAAGTGTATGAGCGACCCGAGAATCTAGCAGACTCCAGGATCGCGCCACATCCTAGACGTGGAGATCACGGCCCGCCCCTGACCATACACTCCACTCATGGAGCTGGCTGGGGAATACTCTTTCTCGTGCGCTCTATGTTTCCCTAGGACGCCGTAGCGTAAGAAGCTGTGATAACCCTACCTCATGCTCCCTGTCTTGCAGACTCTTGCTGGCCATGAGAGAGAGGCCTTCTCCCTCCAATAATACTGCAGCCCAGCGCTGTAGTCATCCATCTTGTTGACAAAAGAAATTCTTCTGATACCATCCATTCCCAGACTTGCCAACTGACATTCCTTTCGCAACCTCATCATGGCTGCTGCTGCTCCCAAGGAATCTGGGCCACTTGAAAAGGATGCGGGGTCTGAGATGAGCACTCAATTCAATGAAAAGAAGCAGCACGGGCATATTGATCAAGAAGAGTTGCAGGACTCCGGTGTCGAAAGCACACCAATATATGTGCCCGATGACCATGACGAAGTGATTGATCCCAGACTGAAGGACTATCCAGTGCCGATGGTGGCCAGAACTGTGCACCTCCATAATGACCCAACGCAAGTGGCCTCTTTTGAGCGTGTCAAAAGAATGCACACGCTGAAGCTGACTAACCCACTCTTAGGGAGCCCATCCTGACTTTTCGCTTCTGGGTTCTCAGCACCGTCTGGGTGTCCTTTGGCTGCGCTCTGAGCACACTCTACTACTTCAAGCCGTATCAGCAGACGGTCTCGAGCTACGTGATTCAGCTGCTGGCCTGGCTATCGGGAGATCTCATGTCCAAATATCTGCCGAAGCGCTACTTCTCCTTCTTTGGTTACCGCTGGAGCATGAATCCGGGTCCATGGAATGCAAAGGAGCACGCATTAGTCGTGGTTGCATATTGGGGCTCCTGTCACACGGCTTACGGCCTGGGGCCTCTGAGTGCACTGGAGATGTACTATGACCACAGGATCGGGACCATCTGGAGCATCCTGTTTCTGGTTTCCAGTCAATTGATCGGTTATGGCTTCGCGGGCATCTTTCGGGACCTCCTCGTTCGACCCCCCAAATTGTATTATCCCGGCGTGCTGCCTAGTGTTGCACTCTTCAACGCCATGCATCGCAACCCGTCCGTCACGAGGAACTCTTTGATTCTCTTCGGTTACTGCACGCTAGCAGCATTCTGCTGGCAATGGTTTCCGCAGATGATCTTTCCGCTCCTCACATCACTGCCTCTATTATGCTGGGCTGGCCACGGCAATCCGGTCGCCTACGTACTCGGGAGCGGGAATTATGGATATGGGATCCTGGATTTCACGCTGGATTGGAATTACATCAATGGCACGTTGCGCTCCATGTACACACCCTTTTGGGCCTCGATGAACCAGTTTGCTGGCATCTTCTTCGCCGTGTGGATCTTCTACCCGATTCTCTATTACACTAACGTACTCGGTGCGAAGAATTTCGAAGCCATGTCGTCCGCAACCTTTGATGCTGAGGGAAATGAGTACAACGTGTCACGAGTCCTGACGAGTGACTTGTTGCTGAATCAAACCGCCATGTTCGTGTATTCCCGTCCTGACTTTGCATATCACATGACGAGTTTTCACTAACCACCACACGTGTTGTGGTCAATAGGGATGCTTACTCGAAGCCGCACTGGAGTATATCTTATGTGTTTTACTTCTTCTGGGGTTTCGCGTGTCTCACGGGAGCCTGCGTGTACGCTGCGCTATGGCATGGTAAGGAATCATGGGCGAGCCTTTGCAATGTCTTTCGACACGGCGCTCGAGACGAGTACGACGATCCCTACCTCAAATTGATGTCTCAACATCGACGTGTGCCACATTGGTGGTACATGACTCTCCTCGGGGCATGCATCGGACTCTCCCTGGGAGCCATCTATGGCGGCGGCTTTCACCTTCCGTGGTGGGGATTTCTCACTATGGTCCTCATCGCATTCGGATTCATGTTTCCGGGCGGCATCGTGCTCGGCATATCGGACCAGATGTTGCCCCTGAACATTCTGTCGGAGCTCGTGGCGGGAGCAATGTTCAAGGGAGATCCCATTGCTGTTCTCACCGCCTTGACCTATGGCGGACAGATCTTCCTGCAGAGTCTCAACCTGGTGATTGACTATAAGTTTGGCTTTTATATGCGCATCCCCGAGACGGAAATGTTCATCGGGCAGGTTTGGGGCACTCTGCTGGGACCCTTTGTCAACCTCGCGGTCATGCGAGGAGTCATCAGCGCCGTGGGCATTCCGACGCTCACGGGCGCCATCGAGTCGGTGAATTGGGAGGCGGCGCAGTCGCGCAATTTTTACTCGACCTCTGTCCTCTGGGGCATCATCGGCCCCGCCAACTTCTTTGCCAAAGACTCCATCTATGCGTGGGTATACTGGGGATTCCTCGTTGGGCCCGCAGCGGTGCTTGCAGTCTATATTGTGCAACGCCTGAAGCCGCAATGGGATCTGGCGCACGTTTGCAATCCGGTGCTGATGTTTTATGGCATTGGCCTGTTCCCCATTTACCCAACGACAAGCATTTTGACTTCGTTTATTTTTGCGCTGATTTTGTAAGTTGATTTTTGCTCTCAGGTCTTTTTTCCATGTTGGAAGAAGGAGGAAAAAGAAAGAAGAAGGAAGAGGAAGAAGAGGAAGATCAAGAAAAAGCTAATGTCGTCTTCTAGCATGGGTTACATCTACCACTATCACCCGGCGTTTTGGCGGAAATATCACTATCTCACAGCGGTGGGCTTGGACTGTGGTTCCCAACTGATGTCGACCATTATGGCATTGGGAATTAGTCTCCCACATGTCACCTTTCCGAAGTGGTGGGGCAACAATCCCACTTTCCCCGATCGGTATGAACTGACTGATATTTTATTGTTCCTGTTTCTGTTTTTGTTTTGGGCAAACGTCGCTAACAGATGGATGCAGATGTTTCCCTCCGAATAGCAAGCTGCCGATGCCGATGCAGAAATCAGCGAGCTCGTGATGAGGATTCGTTTTCATCCCTTGCGACCTACCGTATCTCTGTATTTCTGACTGGCACATGTCCACACCATACCACCACCACCTGCAGAAGAGGAGACTTTTTGCCTCGGTGCTCTTGGGAAGTCAGGCCGGGTTTCAACCTTTCCCTGAACAGTCGGGGCAGCTTTTCGTACCAACATACAGTACAGCCACCAGAGCATGGACGTCTGGAAATGATCAAACATGGACGAGGTCTCGCGTACTACTTGTCAAACTTTCCTGTCGGTGCAAATGGAGATGGAGGTATAGCTACAGTATATTGTACTGGTCCCCGCTGGAATGCAGACCACAGGGTGTCGAGGCTGGAATACCTAAAGGTCGGGTAGTCAAGAGGGTTCAGAAGCTGGTAACTTTTCTATACAAGTGGACCTGGTTCCACACCTGCCCGCCGTATGCACCACTTGACTTTTTTCTTTTGAAAAGCATGCCCAGCGTGGGTCACATTTCCCGCCCACCCACTCCATCCTCCTCCCAGGCAGTTCTCGAGCAGCAGCAACAACGGGCCGCATCTCCAGAACATTTCTCATTGTCACCACGAACACGATCAGGATGGTGGATGCGAAATCAGGCAAGAAAGGTTCCGAAGCGGGCACTCCGGTGGCTCGGCATGGACAGCCAGCGGTGGTCTATGAAGTGACTCCCGTACCTTGATGCTCCCTCTTCCCGGTGCTGCAATCGTGTCGAAGTGCTGATCCATCTGAACTCGTAGAGCCACCGTCTGACCCCTTTCCACGTCTCACAAGCATGCGCCCTCTTCTCATCGCACTACGGCTTCTGGGCAGCCAGCCACAATCGCGTCCGCATGGGACCCCGAACTCTGAAACGCAAGATCCTGCCACACCCCGTCGACCCGTCCTGTTCCTCGATTTGCGTACGTGCTCTCATCAACAACAAAGAGCGCCTCATCGGCCATGTCTTTGCCAGTCAATGGAAGATATCCTGCGGTGAGGGAGAGTGGGTGCATGTCGTCTGGATCACACAACTGGTCGTCTCGCAGTCCTATCGCCGCCTCGGCATTGCCACGACGTTGATCCAGTACGTGCAGGATACATTTCGCGATTGGAGATATGCAGGCGTGTTGAGTGCTCACCCTGCTGCTATTCAAGCCGTGGGCCGAGTGTTCGGAACGGGGGGCGGCGGCGTCGGACTCGTGGAGCTGGAAGATACGAGGCGGTTCGCGAAAGAGGTCATGGAGAGCGCGCCGGTGGAGTATGTCCGAAAGGCGGAATTGCGAGGGAGGTTGTTTGGTGAGCAGGTGGCAGAGGAGGTGGAGGGGATGGGGATGGCCAGTCACGGTGGGTGTGTGGCGTGGGCGAATACGGGCTTTTATATCGATCATGCGGAAGTGCGCGAGGTGTTGAGGAGGCTCGAGGCGGAGGGCAAGAAGTGGCGGTTGGGTGACTTGCCGGTGGGATGTGAATTTGTGTTGGTGGTGGAGAGAAAGTGAGCTTCACTACTTCTTGCCACTACCTCTTGCCACGCGACACGCGTGACTGGAGGAAGGAAGGCAACACCCACCATTGTATATCAACTTGCCGCCTCTCTCTCCCTCTCTCTCTCCCTCCACAACAAACACAAACACACACATTGAAGCAATCATCACAACCCTCTTCAACATCAACCACACCACAACTCACCACTCCTTACCACCACACACACACACACACACACACACACATCGACAAGATGCAGTTCAAGTACATCCTCGCCGCCCTCCTCCCGGCCGCCCTCGTCTCTGCTCAGGCGGCAGCAATCTCCTCTCTCCTCAGCGAGGCCACGGCCGATGCCACCAGCGCCCTCCAGAGCATTTCCAGCGAGGCTAGCGTCCTCAGCAGCTCAGCCACCCAAGTTGCCACTACTGCCAACATTGCCTCCTCTGCCGCCAGCAGCCTCGACGCTCTCACCGCATCGGCCTCGAACGCCATCTCCAGCGTCCTCTCGGAAATCAACTCTGCCACCTCCCACGTCGCTTCCAAGGCTTCTTCCGCCATCAACTCGGCCACTTCTCATGGAGGTGCCGCTGAGACTGCCGCTCCCGTTCTGGCTGCTGGCATTGTCGCCGCGCTCGCTGTTTTGTAGATGAGCGAAGGCAATGGAGTGAACTTGTTTATGTTGGTGGTCATGGACAGACGTGGACATGGAGTGTGGATCGATGCAATGACAAGACTCGGCGAGAGCGAGCATCACACAGCATGGAATATGAGTATGGTGGATGCGTCGACGGATACGGTGGATGGATTCACGGCACTTTACGACGAGTAGCAATGCGTGAGCAGCCCATGTCCACATCAATCAACATCAATCATCTTTAGTGTTGTCTCATATGTCTTTTGTCCGTTGACGCGCTAAAGAAATCCTGCTTACTCACTTGCTGGCGTGGTGCTGCACCAACAGATGCATCGTTTCATCCACTTGATCCATTTCAGCAAGGAAAATTCCCATCTTCATCATGCTTGTGATGTGCAGGTAGTTTTTAGAGATATAAATTGCTACGAAGCATTCGTGACATGCAACAAGCGAAGAGAAAAGTCGCAAACATCAGGTGGTGACCGAGGCGAAGAATCTAACCGAGGCCAATCCTTTGACTCCAGCCTTGTACATTATTGCCAACATCATCTCTCCTTTGCATATTGTTTTCATCAGTCTTTATCAATTCTACTACTAATCTACTCATAACAATGGCAGCCCAGCGCGTATCCCAGATTGTATCCCAGTTGAATCCTCTGGCCAGTCCTGTCGACAAGATCACCCAAAAGAACCCCGACGATGTAGTCATCACGCTTGCGATCCGGACTCCTCTGACCAAGGCTGGTCGCGGTGCCATGAAAGACACGGGTCTCGACGAGATGGTCTTCAAGCTGCTCGAGCAAGTCAATGCCCGCTCCAATCTCGATCCCAAGCACGTGGAAGATATCTGTCTGGGGAATGTTCGTGAGGGCAGCGCCGCCTACTACGTACGAGCAGCAGCCCTGGCAGCAGGCTTTCCTCACACCTGTGCTGCCTCTGCCAGTGCCCGTTTCTGCTCTTCGGGCCTCACTGCCACGCAGCACATTGCCACCTCTATTCAAACAGGCATCATCGAGTGTGGAATTGCCGTGGGCGCAGAGCTGCTCAGTGACAACCGTCCCCGACTGGAGCGACCGTTTGCGGATGAGATTATGGCCAATGCCGAGGCCAAGGACTGCATGATTCCCATGGGTGGTATGGATGGCTGATCACAGCCCGGGCCTTCACGAAACGGGTGTACTGACTCTCTCCCATATAGGTACTTCGGAGATTGTCGCCCAAGAGTTCAACATCAGCCGTGAGAAGCAAGACGAATATGCAGCCGAGTCCTACCGCCGTGCCGAAGCCGCCGATAAAGCAGGCCTCTTCCAAGACGAGCTCGTCCCCATCACCGTCACTCTAAATGGCCAAAAAACAACCATTTCCAAAGACGAAATTCGCTACGGCACCACTTACGAGAAAATCTCCAAACTCCCCGGTGCCTTTCCACAATACGGTAACCGCAGTACCGCCGGCAACAGTTCCCAAGTCACAGATGGCGCCGCAGCCCTCCTTCTCATGAAACGTTCCAAAGCCCTCGAACTCCAGCAACCCATTCTCGCCAAATACGTCGCCACCACTCTCGCCGGTCTGCCCCCACGCATCATGGGCATCGGCCCCTCCATCGCCATTCCAAAACTTCTCGCGCAATTCCACCTCGATCTCCATCGCGATATTGATCTCGTGGAAATTAATGAGGCGTTTGCTTCCATGGCTGTGTATTGTCGCGATACACTGCGTCTGGATTGGGAGAAGATGAATCCGAGAGGTGGTGCGATTGCTCTTGGTCATCCGTTTGGTATGACGGGTGTTAGACAGATTGTTACGGGGTTGAGTGAGGCTAGACAAAGGAAGAAGAGGGTGCTGCTGACGAGTATGTGTTTGGGGACGGGTATGGGTATGGCTGGGTTGTTTGTGAATGAACAGGTTTGAGGATTTGGATGATGAGTGATGAATGATGAATGATGGGAATGTGGAAGCGTCGAGGATGATCAAGAGGGTAAGGTACCTACCTAGGCCAAACGAAGGGGATTTCCGTATTTTTTAAATTTTTGGGGAAGAATCATGAATTGATGTATCAGAGACTGCGTGCACTATTAATATATTACCTATCACGAAAAATGATGTAAATTCCTCTCGCTCTGTCATTTCTCCCTCTTGCTGAGTAACCTATGCATCTGACTGATGGGATGTTGTTTTTTCTTTTTTTTTCTTTTCTTGATGGACTGCTCTGATCACTTAAGAATATTATTATCATTCAAAATTATTGGAATATACAAGCTAGTGTTACTACGCTAGGTAGCTACGTAAGGTAGGTAGTCATGAGGTACATTAGTGATCTGGGCTTCTCGCATGTCTACGGACGGACGCTTGCGGAGTTTGATCAGAAATGCAAAAGCACAATGGAAACAGAACGAGAACGGTTCGAAGCTGGTGAAATGGCAAAAAGTGTTCAGAGTAGACGAATTGCTACCGGTTATACCAATCTCATCAGAGTGGTACTGTCACCCATTTCTGATCAAAAATCCATACCACAACGCGGCAGGTATTGCAACAAGTACCACGCTCATCACAAACTCATCCAGTGCCCTCCGAGCCCGAGATTTCGGCCTTCTTTTGCCCAATTTGCCTCCTTTGGCCTGACTGTCAAAGTCACCGTACTGGCTCCCCATATGTGACTCCTCGTCGCTCTCCTCGTCTTCATCGGGATCTCTCCATCTCATGGCAGGGTAGTAACCCGCTTTTTCGATGAGGCCAGCTCCACCATTTATTCTCCCATTGGCTTCGTGTAGGTTGGGCAGGACGTAGCCGGAGTGATTGGGTGTCAAGGAGCCTGCAGCTGCTGGTGATACGGTGCGAGTTCGAGCGTTGTAGGAGCGTTGAACGCTGAGATGTTGATTGCTTGTGCTCGAAGCATTCGCTGAGCCTGTAGAAGTGGAGCTTGCTCGTCCTCTGCCACCAAACTTCTCGTCTCGCTTGGGCGAAGGCTTTCGAGGACTGATGGAGCCCGTGCGACCACCAGGCTTGCCACGAGGAGTGTATCGAGGCAGCCCCATCTTCTCACGCACGGCATTGAGATCCACATGGAGCTCGTTCTCGTCCTCATCTGCTGTGTCCGGTAAGTTTCGAATGCCGATCACGACAGCACGCACCAGGAGAACCAGAGTAGTAAGGCCGAGGAACTGCGCGTAGGAGATGAAAACGCTCAGTTGGTCCGGTAAGAGACAGAGCTCGGTTTGGATTGTCTTGCAGCCGCTGTCCATACCACTCATACACTCTCCGATATGCTTTCCCTTCTCATCGACGGGGTTCCACATGCTGACCAACAGGAAGCCAGGCTTCCTGACACCCATCGCCCAGCTAAAGCTTTTAATGGTGACTTCCCGCACCGTCTGCATCACAGCGCGTTCCTTCTTCGTGTCGACGTCGTAGCGCCCGACGTTGAATCGATGTGTCACGTCACAGTAGTCGTGGTCGTCGCCAGAGAAGATGTGCGCAATATCGCCTGCTGTGGATACCTTCTTGGCAATGATTTTGGTAAGTGAGGGCGTGAGGACGTTTTGGTATTGGTAGCCGGCGGCCAGAGGGATGGATCGGCCTCGTTCTCGCAGCTTGCCGCAATCGACGTCCGGGTTGCGATAGAGAGGAACGTGGGAAAGCAGCACAACGGGCAATTGAGGTCCGGTGGGCTTCTTGGGAGTGGGCGAGGATACTAGTTGCCATTGATCGTCTCCGCGCTTCATGAGCTGACCTGCTGCCGGCTTCAATTTTTCCCCGATGCCTCTATCATCCTTATGCTCAATGGCATCGTGCGGCCACAATTTCCGAGGATGCGATCCAGGGAACATCATTTCCAGCTCATCGGCGACAGCCTTTGGTCCGCTCTTGTCCAAGCCGTTCAAGAAGTCGTTCGTTGGTGTCCAAATGTGGGAGTACTGTGTCCTTCGCTCCTCACTGACCTCGCCCACGTCCGGCACGTATTCGTCGTATGCGCTCAGAGAAGGTGTGTCTAGACTGACAAATGTATGGTTCCCAAGCACATACACACTGTTCGCCTCTCCAAAGCGAGTCTCGAAACGATCTCTTACAGTCACCTGAACTCCACTGCCGATGCCAATATCATGGTTGCCAGGCAGGTTCATCTTCACCACCCTGCTCTTAGTGCCGCCAGTGGCATACTCTCGCCAAGTGATGTTGCGAGCACCATTCATGATGCTCACAGGGCTCTCCGGCAATTCCCAGGTAGGCTCGAAGGTACGGTTCGCATTGGGGTATAGTTGCTTTTCGTCCAGGAAAATTCTCGCAAAGCGGTCGTACTCGATATCCCACTGCCCCTGCTTCCACTTGTTCCACCTCCCATTCTCACCGGGCACGAACCTGTTCAAATCGGTAGTGCCATCGCCGAGCAGTCGCTGTCCTTCCCTCCTGTCTCGGTCCAGAATCAACAGATTGATCAGCACCTCCCTCTGCTTACTGTTCAACGCCTTCGCCTTTTGCGTACTCCACTCTCGACCTCCATCGAGGAGGTCTCCCATGAAGACGATGCTGTCGGGATCCAGCACTTCGTTGATCAGCTTGAAGTGTCGCCGCATGTACAGGTCGGTGTAGTACTCGGTCAGACTGGACAGAGGCCATGGTCTCCCCGGATATGTATGAGGATCCACCAGCTGCGGATCAGCAATGAAGACTGATCGGTGAGGAGTAGCATCGGAGTGCCATTCTTCCCACTGCTTCCAATCACATGACTGGATGTGTGATCGGGACAGCGTCCGTTCTTTGGAGTGGATGAGGAACAGCCAGAAGGCGGCTAAGAGGAGGGTGGTGGTGGTGATGTGACGGGTCCATGGATAGCGGCGATGAATGCGGACCAGACTCGATTGTGCAACATGTCGGAGTCGCATCTTTCGAGACGTGCTATCATCGGCCGAGTAGATACCGCATCTTCAGGGTGTCAACGTCCTGGACAACTGCGATGAGGGTGTGATATGAGTGGTACAAGGTTGGAAGTAATGTAGTTGGTTCGGAAAGGAAGTGAAGTGGATGGGATGGGGAATAGGAGAGAACAGCGTCCTCTATGGATGGCTTCGATTCCATGTGAAGCACGCACTTCCGGCACAGCCCAATGGACGCTTCGAAGCAGGGTCCAACTGCATCCTTGCCGATCATTTCTGTCTTGGCGGCGCTGGAGACTTCACCTCGACCATACTATATATGTTTGGTCCTGCTTGGGAATCATGCATACCTAACGAGGACATCGGTGCGAATGCAATGGTTGATCGTAGTGGTATGATACATTCTCCCTTGTCTCCTCTCACGCACATCCATCTGAACCCTTGCTGGCAAAGACAGACTCTAGGTACTAACTGCACACTATTCACCTAGCTCATTTGCAGATCAACGACTTTTGCCAGAGTCTCCCAGCCCGAGTCTCACAGATCGTGCTGGGCTATCACCAAAACCTCAACTCTAGGCCCACGCAATCCTCCTTTTCCTGGTCACGAAATCACTCATGTCGATCTTGCGCTTGGTAGAATCATTACTCATCGACCCTCAACAGTATCATCACTCGACAGCCGAATGATTCTTCCCTCATTGCTCCTTCTTGTCGGCGATTCGCACACAGAGTGGCGTGAATGTACTGCCCGATTCGATAGCAACCATGTGGATTCGCTCCTCGGCGATATCGATCAGGGTCGAGTTACTTCCCTCATACACATCCGAAGTAATGTGTGCGAAACCTCCAGACAGATCCAAACCAGGCTTGAGAAGATTGAATGTCGGTGTACGAGTGCCCTTGATGAAAATCCACTCGCATTGCTTGATATTGGAAAATTCGACGTGGGACAAACTGCAGCCGTCCGGACCGGGCTTGGTCTCTCTAGCGAGTCTTGAGAGGGTTTTCATGCATTCTCTTTCGAATACGCTGCCGCAGCTCCAGTCACTCGCATTCTCCTGAGATGTATGTTAGTACCACAGCGGGGAGGAGGCTTGATAACAGGAATGCGACACACTTCTTTCTTTGGGTTGTATCGCTTCGCTTCATTGTATGGCAAAGGCGTTTCGAGAATCGTCACGCAAAAGTTCTTTTGATCCAAGTGAACACTGTTGGCCGCGACAGCTTCGACCAAGTTCTGGCCACCGGGAAGGACAAAGTCGTAGACTGTGTTGAGCCTCTGTGCGTCGGGAATGTCGCTATCCGGAACAGGGCCAACATCGAGACGTACGTCTAGTTGCCAGCGAGGAGCATCTTTCCCATTTGGGTACCACAGGTCGAAGGGAACCTGCTTTTCTGAAACCGTATCGGCTTCTGCGAGGTATTCTTGGTCCTTTTCGTACTGGCCTGCCTGATATTAGCTCCCCTCCACCACCTGCGAGTGTGTGGCATCTCCGGGCTAGCCAAGGAAGCGGCTGACCACCGTGAGATTCATGATGCGACATACCTGGGCCCGAAAAGACGACGGCGTTCTGCTGGTTACCTGCGCAGCCAACGGCCGCAAGGATTGCCGTGATAGTGAGTCGAAGAGCCATGCTTCACAATGATTTATCTTTTCTCTGAGATAAGATGCACACGAGTAGCGAGGACGAAGGCGTAGCGATCGAATGTATATATATCAGGATGGCGTACATAACCTTTACGGCTGAAATTCATATTTGTGAGGATACTTAAATCATGGTGACCAAGCGCCAGGCGTGGATTCGCTTCGCCATGAAGATACTTTACGAGTTGTCAGGTGGTGCATTCCATCCACTGGTACCAGACCGGGCTGTGCCAAAGTAGAAGATGGTGGTGACTGATCATTATCGCGGCCGGCGCCACAGAGCACGTGAGAAGTCCTTTTCCACCTCAGACATGACACTGGTCGGGTTCGAATAGTGATACCTAGTAATGTTGATGGAAAGTGAGATGAAGTGAAGTCGGTGATGTTGACCGAAAGAGGTGGAACTGGCAATGAGGTGAAATTGGGACACTGCCAAGAAGCTGTTATCGGCTAGGTGGGCGCCCACACTGGCCGATCTCGGCTTGGTCTATCACTCGAAGGGCGCGACAACATGAAAAAATGAATTCATTATTCACTCACTCACTGACCTTCACTTCTGAAATCGAGAGTGGCTGGACATATCCAGCCCCCTCTAGAGACCAGTACCCCTGATTACATATACTGAGAGGGGACGGTCACGGTCTGAACATTCTGGCAAAGGGTATTGAGGCGACCTTGACCTTATCCAGACCCTACACAATTGTGTTCGTCACGCAAACCGAGTAGAGAACGATGGCCTCCAATCCGCCTGATACCAGTACTGGCTGGCTGAAGCAGGAACCCCCAAAGTTACCACCGGGATACCAGAAACATCACATTGTCTTTCTCGAAGCGGTGCATATGCCGCTCGCAGAACTACCCTTTGAACATACAATCGACGTATATTCCAGAACTCTGCCCCACGAGATCGCAGAGCGCATCAAACCGGCAACCATTGTTATTTCCAACATTATTGATGTCAAGCCTTCAGACATGGACCATGCTCCCCACATGCAACTCTTGGCAATCCTCGCGACGGGCATGGGATGGGTCGACAAGGAATACTGCGCCAGACGAGGCATCTCTGTCGTGAACGGACCAGGTGCGAATATCGATGCGGTCTCGGAACACTTCTTGGCATTACAGCTGGCGAGCCGCAAAAGAATTGGTGTTGTGGACCACACAGTCAAACATTCCGACGAATGGCGTCAGACCAATTCGTTGACGAAGAAAGTCTGGCCGAGTGGTCCTCCTCTGGGTATTACGCAGGAAACTCTCGGGATTCTGGGATATGGGGCTCTCGGCAAGAATATCGAGCGTTTAGCAAAGGCGATTGGATTTAAGGAGGTGCTCATTGCCGACCGAAGAGGAGCTCGGGAGCTGAGAGAGGGGAGGACGCCGTTTGAACAGGTCATTCAGCAGAGCTCGACGATTGTGTTGGTTCTCCCGCGCGAGCCCGACACCATCAATTTGATCGATGAAGCAGAGCTCAAGGCCATGCGAAAGGACGCTCTCGTGATCAACGTTGCGCGAGGTGGGATTGTGAATGAGGCTGCACTGGCCAAAGCGTTGAAAGAGGGCTGGATCTCCGGAGCGGCAACAGACGTCCTCGATACTGAGCCAGGTGGACCAGGTTCCACGCCATTGTTACCAGATCTGAGTAAAGGGGAGGAAGCAGTACCCAATCTTCTCATTACATCACATGTCGCTTGGTTTGCCCAGGCGACCATCAGCAATTTGCAACGCATCAACAGAGATGCGATGACTGCATATGTGGAAGGAAGAATGTACGATCCCAAAGAGAAGCATGTGGTGGCGGTGCATGACGGGAAAATTTGGAAATAGTGAAAGTTGCCTAGGTATACCTATCGCAATATTGCTATTGCTGCCGTGATAGTGTGGAGCTTGGTTTAGGTAGGCCACTCGGGCTGACTAACGCATATGCAAAACCTCAGACGAACTCACATATACAGGAACGGTACCTACCTGACCCAGCGATGGGCGCTTCGAGACATCAGTAGAGAGTAAGGAATCAATGAATCCAGCACAATCTTATCTTATCCCACTACTTCATCAGATCAGCAGTCATTGCACCCACCACAGGTCTCTGTCGTTTCGTGCTATACTCTATAGAAGCCTGTAAGTTGTTCTTCGGCATAGTCTCTGTAGATGCAACACTTGTGCGGTTGCCAGCCATGGTTTTTGTCTTGATGAATTGCTTGAGAATCGGCTATGGCACTCTAAGCGGGCTTGATTACGTGTGTACGGTGGTGGGAGGGATAGAGAGTTGAGCGGGAAACGGAAGTTCGCCGTGACCACGTCCCGGTCAGCGGTGCTGCAGCCTTCCTGGAGTTCGAATGATTGGACGAAATAGCCCGATACGTCAGGTGAGAAGTCCGATGTTGCGGTGAGATGGAAGTGAAGAAGATTGCACATCAATAGTCGCTACAGCCTACCGGCTACCGTCATCATCATCATCATCACCAGGCGGACGGATATCGAGACGACGAGACCTACATGTAGGTTAGCAAGATCTACTCAAGGTCGGTCAGGTATTGGTGGTAAATAAAGAACAGACTGCAGCTGGCTAATACCTCCTAAGCCTGGACGCAATCTTCGAACCTAGGGCTCGGCGTCTTAAAGTTAGCGTGTGTTCTGCTGCAGTCTAGACTTGACTGTTTCCTGCCTCAGGTATACTGTACAGCAAAAACACCAACATCATGTCCTACGGAGCTTGTACCGGTATCGTGCATACATGTAGTGTTCAGGCAGAAACACCTACGACAACACTCCAGTCTTCATCAGTCATCATATCGAACCAGCGCATACATGGCTCCACCGTGGGATGACGAAACACATAGACGTGCCAGTCCTTCGTGTCCTCTCAATGTCCCCCGCCAAGCTTACGAGGGAGTCAGAGAGAGAGTTCGTATTTCGCATCGAGCATCCCAGCAAGGGCTCGCTCGGCAGTGTGCCTGATCCGGCCTCACCACCAACTGACTCTCAGTCGCCCGCCCATCCTCTTTCGTGACTTTCGTCCACCCAACTGTCCAAAGCGGCAGTCCTCGGAATGTCCTTCCCTGTAGGCAGCCTGCACCGCAGCATCCGTTGCGCGGAATCGAGCTGAAGAACCGCATCCGCACACCAGAGATGGCCATGCGCATACCGTAAACAGAGATTCCACTCCAGCTCAAGCACCTGATGTGGACAAAGGGTTCATCACCGTAACCAACAACCAGTACTGTACCCAGTGAGGAGGTCATAGTCGTCATCATCGTGAGCGTCGAGATGCTTTCACCGCACTCCGAAGCTGCTCAGCTCAGTAGGTAATTCAGGTAACAACATCTGTGTTCTGTATCACCTATTGCCTGCTGCATCCCATTGTACCAAACATTCCATACTTCTAACCGCTTCGAGATGGTCGAAAGCCGATCCCTCGCATGCGCTGTGAATGAACATCCGCTCAGGCTGGCCCCGCGGATATGGGGTCTCTGTCAATGCCGATGATTACCTACCTGTACTGCAGCCTCCATCTCCAATTCTCCATGCACCTAAAACCCCTAAAACCAACCGGCCTTCTGATCCCTACCACCTCGTGCGATGCTGCCGAGCCCGAGCAAAGGGCATGCCACGCCCACTAACCAGGGCTTGGGAGGCGGCGGTGCATCCATGTCTGTGACATCAGGCAGACGGGCAAAATAAATCTGAAGCTCATCCTCCTCCTCCTGCTCCTCCTCCTCTCGCTGCTGCTGTACTCGGTCACTGACATGCCAGACGACTAGTACTTGTGAATGACCTGTAAATGGCAATTTGGATGCTCCTCGCCCCATCATGGAGAAGGATCCCTCCAGCGCCTTCAGCAGCTTGAATCGGCTTCCAACCCGCCTGGTGATCTGTGTAGACGGCACTGACCAAAGGCCCGCGGGAGCAGAATACGACCGACCGACCAATGTCTACCGCATCTACTCGAGCATCAAATCGGGCAAAGTCGTCGACGCCGCCACGGGCGACACGTTGGTGCAGGTGCCGCTCTACTATCCCGGCATTGGTGGCCCGGACGATCTCCTGCTCAAAGACAAACTACACCTAGGAAACTCATACCAAGACCAGATCCGGAATGTGTATGAACGATGCAGCAGACTGAGCGGAGCCAAGGATGAAGTGGTGTTCTTCGGCTTCTCACGCGGTGCATATGTAGTGCGTGCCGTGGCGGGACTGCTGCATCAGATTGGAGCTTTGAAGAGTGCGGGAACGCCCGAGTTTGCTCGTGACTATAAGAAAGTGCTCAAAGAGTCTGGCCACGACTGGAAACTGGAACGCGCGAACACTGTACGCTCTACGAATTCCGACTTCTCCGCCTGCCGCTCCCTCTCCTCCCTCTCCTCGACATCCGAGGGCGACTTCCAGACCGCGCCCGTCATTCGCTTCCTCGGAGCCTTCGATACTGTCCGAGCCATTGCCGATGATGACTACGACACCTCCTTCAACCTCTCGACGCAACACTGGCGACATGCCGTGGCATTGCACGAAAACCGAAAAGCGCTGGCAGCAGACGTCCTCTACCCTGAGGACTTCTACAGGACGGATCTCAAGGCTCAAGAGCGCAGCTTCGTGCAGGCCTTGTTCATTGGCAGTCATGGCGACATGGGGGGCACATCGCCCAAGGCCGGACTGAGTCTCTATCCTCTGCAGTGGATGTTGCTTGAAGCAATCGCCTGCGGCGTGCATATTGAACTCGAGGGTACCATCCCGACCAGCAACGGTGGTCCAGTCTTCAGACCGTTGGCCGTGGTGTTCCCGAAGAAATCGTCCAAAAGCAAGGACAAGGACGCGGTGCAGATGACATTTACCACCGCCAATGGAGTATCTGTCACTATGCAAGATCTGCGCTCCGTACACGATGGATCCAGGTCCCAGGAACAATTCGGCATCAGGCTCACCAGCCGTCCCGTATCGCTGCGCATGAAGAAGCAACGAACGCCATTCGACAATAATGGCTATCTCCGAGGCTATTGCGACCATGCTCCTCAGGGCACCATCATTCATCCCTCGGTCTATCTCCTGCTAGATGAGCACATCAACGTCGCGCTCGATACGAAGGAAGCAAAGCTGCAGCGGAATCTGGAAGAATGGCGTGAAAACATGCTCGGTACACAGAGTGGACACGTCAACATGGGCTTCTGGGGCGACGGCAGTATCACTGATGACGGAAACCCGGGCGCCATCCGTGTCCTGGTGTGCGGCAACACTGGCGTGGGGAAGTCCACTCTGATCAATAAAACGTTTGGCGTCGAAGTGACTCCGAGCAGTAACAGAGTGCGCGGCATCCATGATGTGACGCAGGAGATCACGTTTGATGGTAGACCAGACCTGATCGTGCACGACTCTGGAGGCTTCGAAGCGGGCACCGACACCGAGTTTCTGGCCATTGAGAAATTTCTCAAAGCAAAGTCGAGCGCGGAAGAGATTCAAGACCGGCTGCATGTTATCTGGTTTTGTGTCGAACTCAATTCTGCGAGAACGTTGCAGACCGCCACGGAGAAGCTGTTCCAAGCCGTGGGGCAGTATGCTCACGAGGTGCCCGTCGTGGTCGTCGCCACCAAGAAGGATGACTTCCTGGACATTGAATACATGGCAAAGAAGAAGGAGCTGAAGAGATCCGGTCTCCCCTTTGATGAAGAGTTGTGCGAGGCCTATGCAGAAGAGAAGCTGCATGATAGACTCGATGAAGTCAGGCGTGAGATGGAATCTGTCCCGGGAGGTCGCTTGGATGCCATTGTCGCAGTCAGCCAAGGCAAGTGAATGCACCGCCCCGTTGTTATGTAAAAGCGGTTACTGACATATACTCTCTACAGGCGACGAAGAGTCCATCGCTTTCCTGTCCAAGACCACATCGCACACCTTCGATCTCGACAAGGTCCGTCTATTATACATCCGCGCGCAAGTGACCCGCATCGACCTCAAAGTTGACTTAGCCCTCCACGAAGTTATGCGCCGCTATCGGTCCCTTGTCAGAGCGGCAACAGGAGTCGCATTCACCCCCATCGCTGCGTCTGCGCATCGTAAAACTGCTGCTGCGAAAGCCTGCACCGCAATCTTGAATTGCTTTGGTCTTCCCAGCGTTTCCGCAGAAACAGCTATTGCAAACATGAAGCAGAATGTGTGGGACCACCTGGGCTTTGACTTCTTCATGGCTATTGCCGAAGGGCTCAATCTACTGGGAGTCGCCGGCATGGGAGTGGGAGGTGGAATGCCTGCGATTTTTGTGACGGGCATTGTCTCCATTCCTCTTGTGGTGCCTTCGACATGTCGGCTCTTCTTGACCATGTCGGTCGATCTCATCCTGGTACTGATTCTGTCCTTCAAGCAAGTTGCACTGCAAAATCGCCAACCCTTAGAGAAGGACTTGCAGCACGCGTCTCGTGAATACAGGTTGAAAGGATACTCCGACTACGCCCACGAAGACATCAAAGCTCTCGTGCCCCGGCGAAACATGGCTGCCAGCTTCCGATACGATAAGATCCGTAACGGCCTGGAAAAGACTGTGGAAAATTACAAGAGCATGGCAATGCAGGATGCGAAGGTGTCGAGTGAATCCAAGTTGCGTCGAAACTTGAGCGTGACGGAGGAAGATGAAGACGATGCCAGGCTGATACGTCAAGCGAATCAGAGACTTGTTGAGCTTGAAGGGAGCAGTCTGCCGATTGAACTGCCTGCTGGACGGGAAGCAATCACCACGGAGTTGCCCGCCATTGAGGCGCCGGTCGAGCTCTCTGGAGATGCGCCGCCAAGGCGTGCAGTTGAGTTGCCTGGACATTTCGAGTTTGATATGCCAAGAGGCAGTAAAACAATGGTCGACACGGCCACTTGAGGTTTCCGAGGTCAGCCCACAGTCATGAGAGAGCCATACACGCCTATTGCAGCTGTGGAATCTTGCTCATGGACCTCACGATACCACTCGAGTCAGTCCTTCATGGACACCACGACTTTGGGTGACTCTGAACTGAACAATTGCCGATCTCCAGCGGATACATTGTTACAGCTTGGATTCTCATCAGCGAATCCAACCTCTAGACTCGGACACCCACAACGGGCGAATTGAAAGAAACGAGAGGACAGGTTCGAAACAGCACTTCACCGATACACGCGACTTTGTCTACGTCTTTGTGATATCCCTCATCTCAGCTTCTTCGTGGATCTCTGGATGAGTGTGTGCTCTCCATGGCGATAATAAAGCATGGAATTCATGCAAAAGGATATCTCCATGCTCGAACACATATCTGACACGGGCGATGTCAGTCATCAGCACCACAGCAACATTATTTGTCCTGTTTAACGAATTCATATCGATCTTAATGAACATGAAGTACGATTTCCAGAACTTCCAGGGCTCATTCATATAGTTCCTGAAGATTTCTCCGCACTTGCAAACCAACCACCCGGCTCCGTCCTCAGTATGGATGTTGTCGCATGTCCTCCTCTACTCCTTTGCCACATGACCCAGCCTTTTGTGATGCACTCTCAACCTCGAGAATGCGTAGCCTTGTCTCTCTATCTGATTCTCCCTCCTGTAACTGTTCATCTTGTACCTCCTCCTCCTCCACCACCAGTTCTGAACCAAGCTCATCCATCCTAGCCTCGTATTTCAACTGATACGTCTTTTGCGCCAACAACACTCCCTCCAGAGCCTCGTCGGCCAAAAATGTGCTTACCTTATCCATGAGTTATTGCACGCTTTGGCCGCGTAGCCGTAACAGAAAAATTGCTTCAGCTCGAGTAGAGTTGGGGATCTTCTGAGGACGCTCTATATCGAACATACCTTATACAAAACTCTCCAAGCCTTTTTGGTTGCAATTGGCGGTGCTTACTCCTCGGGACAGAACCTAGCAGTGCATGAACAGGCAGGGATATGGATTTCCTGGTGTTGTAGGATGTTCGGTATAAAAGTATCCCTGGAATTTTTCGAGTGAAAGTCTGTGTGGACAGCGGACGGGAGGAGGGGAGGGTTGATATTCCGATGGAAAAGTGTTTGGCTGACTACTTATATGGATAGCAACAACAATAACAATGACAACAACTACTGCCGCCGCGATTTTTTGTGTTTTATTTCATCACTGTTCGGTCAAAAGGGGCTACTCCTTTGCGTAGAATTCGCTGGAACGACGCGAAACCCGGACGCGAAACCGGATGATAGGTATAAATGCCAGCCCGCTGCTGTCGAGAGGTAGCATCCTTTTTTCATGGGCAAAAAACATAAAAATGTATCGGCATTGCATACCCGGCTATCTGACCTGACTATACCAGTGTACTTAGGTACTACTCACTCACTACCGAGAACGCTGCTGCAGGCATGTCTCGTATTCAAGCGAGGTCGTATGATAGTGCGATAGGTCAAGATAGTACAACCTCACTTACTTACGACCTACTATTCGTGCGAAATTGTTGCGGGCGGTAGTCTTTTACCATACGAATTTTTTTTCCCTGGCTATCGCCTGACCAACACGAGGAGTTTCTCAAAGGATAACCCAGTATAGAGATAGATGGTCGGGGTCTTCGCGGGTGTTATAAGAGTGTTCCCTCTCATTCCTCCTTTTTTCTAAACTACGAAAACGAGTACTAAATGCAAACATGACTCCTATTCGACATTACATGCAGTCGACAGCATCCTTTCCAGCTTTGGTAGTGTTGCTGCTGCTACTGCTACTATTCCAAACGGGCGGTTCCTCAGCTGCGTTCTTGTGCGAATTTCCTTCAAGGGCACTCCTCAAGCAGGTAGGTACAAATAACATTCTTATTCTAATCGATAGAGCGCGAAAGGAACGAGTGGCGAGCTGACTTGGACATTCCTCTAGAGAGGCCAAACCGAGTGTGATTATTATCAGCCCGGCTTTACCAAAGATTACTGTGGAGATGATATTGCGGCTGCCAATGTATGTGCATCGCCATCCATCAATACGGTGACGACGAAAAAGAAAAGAAATGAGAAATCCAAGAAAAAGAAGGAAAAAAAGAAGAAAAAGAAGAGAAAAAGCAAAATCAGAAAACCAAAGATTGAGCTATGTGCTGACTGACACTATATAGTGTCCTGGAAAAAGCAAATACATCTGTTACGGGAGGAGATTCAATCAAGGGTAGGGTCGTCGAATTAAGAAGCCTACCCCCTTTCTTTTTCTTCTTCACAACAGTTGCTGACACTAGAAAAGGGGCCAACAAGGCTTTACACCCACTTGCTACTTTTACAATTGAAGGGAAAGCCGGAGGAGAGCGACAGGCTTTTTATAATTGGAATGAATGTGAATGGCAGCTGCTGTCGAGTTGCAGGCATTCCTCGTGTCTCCAGCCCCGTCGTAAGATAGGTACAGGTATGTACCCTAGTGTATTGTGTGACAGGGCAGTTTGTACTGGATACAACACACAACCTGACTTTGATGGAAATAGCCGTGCAAACCTAGATGCCTTTTTAGACGCTCGGGCAGCTCTAGATTGATTGAGGTCCTTGGGGGCTTACTGAGAGGGATTTAGAAGGAATAATTTTTCACTTCCTCCTTCTTCTCCTTCTGCTACTACTGTCTGTTCAGCTCAATTTCTCACAAAAGCCGAGTATCATCATACCAACAATGCATTCGACGGTGTGGTTTGCATCATTGGTACTGCTGCCTCTAACCAGCGGTCGCAACGCTGTGACCCTTTGCAGGTTTCCTACAAGTGACGATCTCAAGACGGTACAATATCCATACCTACCTTATTTATTCGACAGTACCGGAAATCAGCCTGCTAACTTCGAGTCGTCGTCTTAGTATGGTCGGATGAGTTGTGACAAAGCCCCATACCCGGGCTCGATCGACCTTTTTTGTCAAGCGGCAAAAGATGCCGGCTCTGTATGTATATCAACACGGAAAACAAAAAAAAAAAAAAAAAATGATTGCGCGCCATCTACTGATCCGATATCAAGTGTCCTTATTCAGATCTTTGCACCTGCTGGGGAAGGATGGTTTATGATCATAAGTAGGTCGTTGGAGGTCTTTTTCGATTTTTCCTTTTTTCTTTTTGCTTTTTTCTTTTCTTTTCTTTTATATCAATATTATTTCTTCCCTACCATAACACTTACTAACACTAGATCAGCAACCACGGGGTCTTTGTGCCTGCCATTTACTTTTTCAACGAAACAGGCGATTTTTGACGTTCGAACTTGTATGGTAGGTAGTGATGAATGCGCAGAGACGGGAATATTCAGATCCTCTAAGACCTTTCCAATCATGAAGCGACTTGAGAGAAACTTTTGCAGGGAGGTTTGATAGAAGGCCGGACGTTCGCAGTAGAAGATAGTGTGGTGGATGTGGTATAGAAGTGATTGGTAGTAGAAATGGGCATTGTGTTGTTGTTGGTGGGAGAAATAAAATACTAGAGTACATGCAATACAGTATCTCCTGTAACTGACCTACCTGTACCGGTACCGGTACTTGTACCTGCATAAGTGACGTGATGCACTTGGAGGAACTTCTTCCTTCACTCCCTTCCCGTAGGTACATATACCTCCCTTCCCGTACATGTACCTCCCCTCCCAGGCTCCCACGCTGCACCGACATCCCACCTACCACCACCACCACCACCACCATCACCACCACCTCCTCCTCGAAACGACATGAACCCAGCTCCGCAATCATGGCGCCCGCCAAACGACCCCGAACGCAGACGAAGGCGCATCGAAGCACGCTCTTCGATGCAGCTGACACGCCTCCACCGAAACAGACCACATCAGCGGCCGAGACGAAGAAGTTTCTAGAGAGCCTCGACAACGACGACGACGACGACGAATCTCTGAGCGATCTGGACAGCGATGATTTCGAAGATGTGGCGCCAGCAAGGAAGAAGCCAAAGATGGCCCATATCGATTCTGCACAGATCGGGCAGGATGAGCGTGCCAACGACGACGACGACGACGACGACGACGACGATGATGGAATGGACTGGGAAGATGCCACCACTGCACACCCCAACGTCGTTCCCTCCTCCAAACCGGATGTCGAGATTGCCGACATTGATGTATCGCTCAACGAGGATGGCGTCTACGTAGAGCCGGAACTCTCACTGGCCACGGGGAAGAAGGGTCCCTCCAAGCGTGAACGGCAATTCCGAGTCCTGACACACTGTTTGCATGTTCAGAGCTTGATGTGGCACAACACGGTACGGAACTCGTGGCTCAATGACACCGAAGTGCAGAAGATTCTCGTGGATGGGCTGGGAGATGGCGTCAAGAAGGAGATTACGCGGTGGAGGGAGAATATGGGAATTTTGACAAAAGAGGAATTGGAAGCGAAAAAGGCGGCAGCAGCAAAACTGAGAGCGAGAAATGAGAAGAAGGGAAAAGGCAAGAGAAGCAAGACGAGAGACTGGAGCTATGAAGCCGAACACCTGGACCAAGGTGTGCCAAATCTGAGTCAGGGCGATCCCTTATTGAGGTTGCTCAAGGTCCTAGCAGCATACTGGCGGAAACGCTTCACTGTGACAGCGCCTGCTTTTCGCAAGCAGGGTTACATGCCATTGAAGCGGCTACGAGATGAGATCCAACATTGGAGCAAGAATATGGGAGATGCAGATGAGCATGGTGAGCGCATTGAGAATCTGGATGCGTTCCGAAACCTGGCAAAGTCTTGCGAAGGATCACGAGATGTGGGTGCTCAGCTCTTCGTGGCCCTTCTCCGAGCTATTGGTCTGGAGACGCGAATGGTGGCGAACCTCCAGCCTGCGGGGACGGGATTCAGCAAAGCTGAGGAGGCGCTTGAGAAGAAGAAGAAGAAGAAGAAGGAGAAGAAAGGGGTGGATACTGCAATGTCGGAGAAGGAAGACGATGATCTACCATCTGCGAAGACATCCAAGGTCGCCCAGAAAGCCACGCCAACGAGCAAGACGGGAACCTCCAATGGAAAGTCAGCTCGAGGCGCCAAGACGAAGCCGATCAATCTAGAAGAGTCAGGAAGTGAGTTGAGTGAGCTACCCCTGGAGGCGGAAGAAGACGACGTATCGCTGGTGGACATCACTACTCCGTCTTCACTACCACAGAAGAAGGCTCACAAAAAGTACGACCGCGACCTCGCCTTTCCCACCTACTGGACCGAAGTGTGTTCGCCCGTCTCGCACAAATGGATACCTGTCGATCCCATCGTCCTCTCGACCATCGCCTCCACCGATGAACTACTTCAAACTTTCGAACCTCGTGGCAAAAAGGCGGACATGGCAAAGCAAGTCATGTGCTATACGATTGCATTCAGCGCAGATGGCTCGGCCAAAGACGTCACCGTGAGATACTTGAAGAAGCATCAACTACCAGGCAAGACAAGGGGTATGCGCATCGTGGCCGAGAAAGTGCCCATCTACAACAAACGCGGAAAGGTCAAGAAGTACGAGAATTACGACTGGTTTCGTACGGTGATGTCGAGCTACGACCGACCGCAGACCAAACGCACCGCTGCCGACGACCTAGAAGAGCAAACGGACCTCAAGCCTTGGAAACCCGTCAAGGAGGCAAAGGAAGTTGAGAAGGAGAGTCTGCAGTGGTACAAACAGTCTGCAGAATTCGTTCTCGAACAACACCTGCGTCGTGAAGAAGCAATCGTCCCGGGGGCCAAACCGGTTCGAGACTTCATCGCGGGCAAAGGCGATAAAGCAGTCACCCATCCGGTGTATAAGCGTAGCGATGTGGCCACCTGCAAGACCGTCGAATCATGGCATAAAGAAGGGCGTGAGGTCAAGGTCGGCGAACATCCCATGAAACATGTACCAGTACGTGCCGTCACTCTCCTTCGCAAACGGGAGATGGAGGAACACTTCAAGGAGCACGGCGAAAAGTTACAGCAAGGTCTGTACTCTTGGGATCAGACAGACTGGATCATTCCCCCTCCCATCCACAACGGCGTTATCCCGAAAAATGCCTTTGGAAACATGGACGTCTATGTGGACACCATGGTCCCCGCGGGTGCAGTACATCTCCCCCTCAAGGGCAGTGCGAAGATCTGCAGGAAGCTCGAGATTGACTACGCCGAAGCGTGTGTTGGGTTCGAGTTTGGAAAGCAGCGCGCAGTGCCGGTTCTGTCCGGTGTGGTCGTAGCCGAGGAACACGAAATCCTCGTCCGAGACGCGTGGAAGGAGCAGCAGATTGAGATCAAACGCAAAGAAGACACTAAACGCACCGCAGCGGCGCTCCATTGGTGGCGGAAAATGGTGATGGGTATGCGGATTGTGGAGCGCATGCGAGCCGAGTATGATGAGACATCTGGCGATCCTGACGCGAGCAACCCGTTTGCGAGGAAAGCAACAGCTCAAGCTCGACATGTCCCAGCCGTAGTGGTCGAGGAGGATGTCGGCGCCGGAGGGTTCTTCCCACCTGGACATGTGGAAGAAGAGTCGCGAGAACATGAACGTCAGCTGCGCCGCGAAGCGCCCTCCGAAGATGTCAATGGGAACGGTAGTGGTGGCTTCTTTGCCGGAAGTGAGGACGAAGGAAGTGCCGCTGGCGATGGCGGGTTTCTCGTTGTCGAAGAGGGTCCTGACGGCGATACATCGACGCGCCCGTCCGTTGCTACTCCCTTCACGCCCATGTCGTTACAATCGGTACACCAAGCACCAGAGCCCGATGAAGCATATAGGAGCAACGGTGCCGGTGGCTTCTTGGTCGACAACAGCGAGCAAGAAGAGGATGAGGAGGAGGAGCAAGCGCCAAATCCTGGTGTGGTGAAGCGTTCCCGTACAGCAAGCAGAGCTCCTGCAATGAAAGCTACGAGAATGGCAGAAAAGCCAGCAATTCGCCAGACTCCCGCAAGAAGCGCAGTCTCGAGGAAAGCACCCGCACTAACAACGCCTTCGAGCGACTCGAATCTCTCCGAGCTCGAAGACGACGAGGACCCGGGAGATACTGGGAAGCCTGCGCTAGCTCCACTGCGTCGGGAACGCAGTTCACCCCAAGTGATGATCTCGCCTGTGAAGAAGAGAGCCACTAGAGCGCGGTCGAGGACTAGCAATGGGAAGAGAGCGACACCTGTAAAAAGTCAATACTTTGAGCATGATGATAATGGGGTTGACGAAGATGAAAATAATAACCACCATAACGAAGACGATGAGAATGACAGCGAACCAGAAGTTGTCAGACCTACGAGAACAACTGCTCGGACCAGGAATAGGAGATAGATTGTTACACTATCGATATGTAGAGCTGTAATATTAATTTGTACTTTTTCCGTGCTTATTGCCGAGCTTCCCGTGTGCAAGAGAAGGCAGAGAGTGCAGATGTATCATTTGCACCGTAGACGGAGAAGAGTGAGAAACGACAGAACGGGTCAATGTGACATACCGGCCCTAGATTCGATATGCACAGCAGTTCACTCACTCTACATCCACTGTTGAACTGCCACTTTCAAGCCTAGTAGAGACGTAGAACCCGTGAAATTCTCCGTCGTTCCAACATTTGACATTACATTCCGCGTTGGACTCAATTCATTTTCTTACCTCCCAATACCCATCACATCCTTCTGATAACCCTCTACAATCTCCCCACACCTCATCAACACGCCCGCCGCCAATCTTCTCACTCTCCCCTCCTCTCCGTCCCCTGTTCCATTTCCATTTCCATCCACCAGCCCACCACTGCCCGTGCGCTCAAACACCATTTGCACCCAGTGCTGCGTCTCTGCCAGTCTCTTGGGCTCTTCCTGCGCCAGTCTCGCGACATTTCCCCATTCGCAATTGACTTCGAGCAGTGTCAGGAGGCCGAAAAGAATGGCTTCGAGGATCGAAATGTCGCTCAACGAGGCTACGCGGAGCGAGTGTAAGACATCCCAGAAGGCGGAAGTCATGTCTGCGAGGCCCGTGGTCGATGGGCCGCTGGCATGGAGGAGTATGGAGATTGTTTTGAGGAACGTGGTCAGGAGAACGGCAGTGGCAAAGGGGGAGCGTTGACGGTATGCTGCCAGGTCTTGTTGGTAGCGTGTGACGAGAGGATTGAAAACATTGGCCATGAAGATTCTGGCTAGTTGGTTTGGGGTGGGTTTTCGTTGGGTTCGTGGTTGCTCACTGCGAGCCGAGAAGCGCTTGATTTTGACTGCGTCCAAGTGCGAAGTCGAGCGATCTGCGGCCGAGAGGGCGAGGGGTCGCATGATGCTCTGCTCGACGGAAGTGGTTGCCGTATGGAGAGCCTTGGTCACCGTGGGACTGTAGGTTGCGTGGAGGCGAGAGGGTAGTTGCTTGCTGGGAAAAGACGTGTGCTCCAGGGCTGGGTTGAGGTGATCGGGTTCCTGGAGTCCGGCTAGTTCACGCCCACCAAGACCGAGGGCGGAGAGCATGATGCAGCGTTGAGAGAGTGAGTAGTCGCCTTCAAAAACCCTTCGACTGAGCCATGGCGCTAGCTTCTCCACGTCGCTGAGAAGCACTGCAATAAGGCTTTGTAGTTTGAGTTCTTCAAACCCGTCCGTATCGAAAGGGTCCTGCAGATCTGACAGGAGGAGCGCAAGCTCTTCAGCGTGATCTTTCACTTCTCGACCGAAATTAATCTTTCTTCTGATGAGAGGTGCCGCGTGCTTGATGGCAAGCTGGAATTTGTCGTGGTCTTTGTCTTCCCGTAGCATCCGCATGAGGTCACGAATGTAGACCGGCGGTCGAGATTTGTTCCGGTTGACCAAAGTGGCATCTTCGTCGCTGTCTTCGGCGTCACTGTCGGGTTTTGCATACGGTGTGAGAGAATCGTCGTGGTCGGACTCCAAGGCGTCGTCATCATCCAGGATTTCCGTCACTCTCTCCCCATCCACTTCTGTCTGTGCCGGTGGGCGTACGGGTCCGAAAGTCTGCTTTCCATTCAGTATAGGGAGTTCCTGTGTGTTCACTGCCTTCGCTCGCGGATGTTTGACCAGTTTTGATTGTGATTGTAGCACTTCCCCAAAATCCTCGAAACTGCCCACCTCGTCTTTCACTTTGACAAGATCCTGATACCACTTTCCCTCAGCTGTCCGCAGCTCATCAGTGCCAAAGCTCATCCTCGATCCTTCCTTGTCCACGAGAAACGAAATTGCAGTCGCCACAACCATGCCCAGCCATCGAGCTCGAGAGTTGCTGCTGTGAAGTCTATTGCTTGTGCCCGACATGTGCCCCGAAGAGCGTGCTGTCATGAGTACCGCCATTGGTGCCGATCGGTGAAGATAGCTCGCGGTGAGGAGGAGTGTTTGGGCAATGCTCTCTTGCTGGACAACGGGAGCATGACTGATGAACATCTGATCTCCAAAGGTGGTAAAAAGCTTTTCCAGCAGGGCCGGTAGCTCATTGGGAACGTTCGTCGCCAAGGTGACAATTACAGCCCGTCGGACGGGCACAGATATGGTGCTTGACAAGGATGCATCGGCGATGAATGAAAGCAGGTGTTGCTGCATCGTAACGTGGTCGCTTATCAGCAGATCGAGACATGCCGCCAAACCACATTTATCCTTCGCTTGTGAGTGTACTGCTTCAGAGAACTCGACCACATCAGAGGGTGATACCTGCGTCAGCCACTGCAAGGTCGACTCGAGAAACTGTCGTTGAGTGAAGCTCTGACAGCAGACTACAGTACTTTTTAGGACTTGGGCGTCCAATCTCGCTATTGCTGGAGGGCTAGCAACATATTGGAAAAGTCCCCTCACCAAGGGCACAGAATAGCCCAGAGTGAAGGCCTTGGCAAGAAGATGTGCGCCACATCGGCAAGCTGCAGTTTCCAGCACCCTTTCCTCTGAACCACTTGAATCGCTCAATTGTGTGTGTGGAGAGTAGCTAGCCCGAACTCTCCCAGGTGCTTCTGAGGCCATGAGAACAATCATTCGACCTAGCCAAGCGGCATACTCAGAGCCATTGGACAGCCAGGAGGGTTTCGATGCCACCGATGCAGTCTTTAGCGCATCTTCGGCACGAGCAATCGTCGTGACCAGTTTCCCACTGCCGATCAAACTGACAAACTCTTTCCATGATAGCGACTGCTTTATCGGGTCTGAGACGGCCCGATATAGACGAAGCCATACCCGAGCCACAAGGGAGCGCTTTTCGAAAATCTGGCCGACAAGTTCTAGTAAGTGTACAAGCTCGTCGCTTCCCGAGGATTTGTTGTTTGTGAGGGCTTCGGTCAATAGCCTGATTCGAGCAACGACAGCACTGATGCCAGCGATATTCTGGAGACACGAAGTGAACAGCTTTTTGTCCTCAGGATCGAGAATAGGCCAGAAATTTGGCACGATGCTGCTGACTAGGGCATTGATAATCTGCGCTTGTGGTGGTCCGAGAGCATCGATGCTGAATTCGGAGCATACGCCATCGCTGGGCTGGAGGTGCCGAAAGACTCGGACAAGGGTATTGATGCTGGGCTGACTTTGCAAGACTTGTAAGATCTCCTCCGGCGTTCTCAGTGGCTCCGAGTTGATTCGATATGTATCGTTTGTCTTGATCTCTCCTCTCGAGGCTTTTCGTGTGGTAATATGGGATTCTTGCTGCGATTTTGCCTGCTCGGCTGGCCTGGCATCGATAGAGTGGGTCGAGATGGCTGTCAGCAGCTGTTCCGAATTGTCGGAGGATCCTTTGACGGTCGTCTTGACAGCCGTGAGAAAGTCTGCCATGTCATGGCGGTGGACCAGGTGGAGTGCAGTGGAGTGGAGAGCGACAGTGAGGTACATGTAGGTACCTAGAGATGGAAGATCGAAGTGCATATCACGTGCTATCGCGACTTAGCGTCGAAGCTTATTTTCTTAGTTATCGATAGGCTACGCAGCTCAAGATCGCTTTCGTCTCTCTCTCTCTCTCGCTCTCTTTACCCGTCAAGGACGAACGACTGGACTTCACTCCTTCTCCGCTCCCTCACTTTGTTGGCTTCGACTACGACACTGACCATGGCCGCCGCTGCTGCTGCTGCTCCTTCGGCTCCTTCGGCTCCTCGGGCTCGATATGCTCATATGGACCGCATCCTGTCTCGGCCTGGCGCCTTCACCGACCCCGAAGCCTTCATGCCTGGCGAGCCCACAATCCAGACGCTTGAACAGATCAAGATCTTGGTTATTGGAGCCGGCGGACTGGGTTGTGAGATTCTCAAGAACCTGGCGTTGTCGGGCTTCAAGAACATTGACGTGATTGATATGGACACCATTGACGTCTCTAACCTGAACCGCCAATTCCTCTTCCGCCAGAAGGATGTGGGCTCCCCCAAAGCCACAGTAGCCGCGGACTTCGTGATGAAGCGAGTGCCAGGTTGCCAGATCAACGCATACGTTGGCAAGATACAGGATAAAGACGAAGACTACTACATGCAATTCCACATTGTCGTTTGTGGACTGGACAGCATCGAGGCGAGAAGATGGATTAATGCTACGTTGGTGGGAATGGTGGACAATGAGAATCCAGACAGTCTCAAGCCTCTCATTGATGGAGGCACCGAGGGCTTCAAAGGGCAGTCGAGGGTCATCTTTCCGACGATGACTTCTTGCATCGAATGCCAACTAGATATGCATGCTCCTCGAGCGGCCGTCCCGCTTTGCACGCTGGCCACGGTCCCGAGACAGCCCCAACATTGCATTGAGTGGGCGCATATCATCAAGTGGCCGGAACTGAGAAAGGACGACTTGCTGGATACTGATGATCCGGAACACATCACATGGCTCTACCAACTCGCTCTCCAACGTGCCAAGGAATACGGCATTGAAGGTGTCACGTACTCCATGACCCAAGGTGTGGTCAAGAATATCATCCCAGCAATTGCATCGACAAACGCCATCATTGCTGCAAGTACTTGCAATGAAGCTTTCAAGATTGCCACCAACGCGGCCTCTTTCCTCGCCAATCCCGCTACTCTTCCCCCAGGCGTCGACCCGGAGACGTACGATCCCGAAGACGAATTCGCACCTGCGCCCAACAATTACATGCTCTATACTGGCGACAACTCGATCTACACATATACTTTTGGACATAAGAAGAAGCCGGACTGTCCAGTCTGCGGCAATCTTCCCAAGGACATCGCTCTGTCTGCGGAATCGACTCTCGGTGACTTTGTTGAGAGTTTGGCGGAGAGACCCGAGGCACAGCTGAAGAAGCCCAATCTGAGGTCGGAGGCGAAGTCGCTGTACTACAGTAGCCCGGAGGGATTGCGGGAGCAAACGGAGGCAAATCTGCTCAAGAAGATGACGGAATTGGTCGAGGAGGGCGAGGAGATTGCAGTGAGTGATCCGGCATTGGCGGGAATCGACCTGAGGTACAAGGTGCGGTTCTCGTAGGAATGAAGTTATGATGAAGGGAAGAAATGCAAGCTGGAAGAGAACACCAGGGGCTCTCCGAAAGCCGCCTGTGCCGTGTAGCACGCACGCCGCGAGAGCGAGATGCAGTGAACATGGTTTCAGCCGGAAAATACACGACGAAATGTTTCACATGGCTTACGAACTAGCATTGATATGCGCTTGCCCTCTACATCAAGTCGAGTACCTCCGCCAGTCTATCCGGATAGATGAGGAGGTATATGAAAAGAGATTTAGCTCGTCGACACCATCGAGTGTGATGTGTATTCTGTTTTGGTGTATGCCCTTTCCCGTTGCATGGCCACCCGTGTCTTCATCGTGGGCTTGGAATGGGCTGTTATTATGACGGGGGCAGGAGGATATTTCGTAGATGAAGGTGGAAGTAAGGTGAAGGGTATCTTCGAATGACGAGAGATAGTTACCACCTAGGAGGTACCTGATGTTGTGTACCTGTAGCCTGAACCTCCACGTCGCACAGGGAGAAGAAGTGAGATAAGATCGGGAGCGGCCCGTGAGCTTGCCGCAACGAGGGGCAGCCGCTTGCCGCTTGCTCGTTTTAGCGGGATACCTTACCATAGCTTCAAGAAACGCATTACCTACAGTAACCACCTCCCCACTCTCACCGCCAGAAATACCTGACATCCTCTCCGCTGCGTTCCGCCTGCAATCCAAGAGGATCTCCAAAGATACTGCAGACTCCAACACCTTGATCCACCACAACGCCGACAACATGGAGGAGATTGCACCCGAATACGATGTGGTGGTGCTCGGCACTGGGCTGGTCGAGTGCATCCTGTCGGGAGTCTTGTCGGTCAAGGGCAAGAAGGTGCTGCACATGGACCGAAATGACCATTACGGCGCCGAAGCGGCCTCGCTCAATCTGGAAGCCATGTTCAAGCGATATGGCAACTACAACAAGGGCGAGGAGCCGTGGAAGAAGTACGGCCGCGCCAACGACTGGAACATTGATCTCGTGCCCAAGCTGCTCATGAGCAACGGCGAGCTCACCAATATCCTCGTCTCGACCGACGTGACGCGCTACATCGAGTTTAAGCTGGTGGCGGGCAGTTATGTGCAACAGGGCAACGGTGCCAAGGCAACCGTGGCCAAGGTGCCGAGCAGCGCTGCAGAGGCCCTGAAGAGCCCGCTGATGGGCCTGTTTGAGAAGAGGCGGGCGAAGAACTTCTTGCAGTGGGTCGGCGAGTTTGACGAGAACAATCCTAGCACGCACAATGGCATGAACCTGTCGCAGACCACGATGAAGCAGGTCTACGACAAGTACGGCCTCGAAGCCAGCACCCGCGATTTCATCGGCCACAGCATGGCTCTTTACCCCACTGACGAGTATGCGGAGAAGAAGGGCGAGGCCAAGAACTGTGTGGAGCGCATTCGTCTCTACGTCAACAGCATGGCCCGCTACGGCAAGAGCCCCTATATTTACCCTCTGTACGGCCTGGGAGAGCTGCCGCAGGGCTTTGCTCGTCTCAGTGCCATCTACGGCGGCACCTACATGCTCAACGCCAATGTCGACGAGATCAAGTATGAGGGGGGCAAGGTGTCCGGCATTCGAGCCACCATGAAAGAGCGAGGAGAGGAGGGCGAAGGCATGAAGTTTGAGACCAAATGCAAGCAAATCATTGCCGACCCTTCATACTTTCCGGACAAGGTGCGCGTTGCTGGATACCTGATCAAGGCCATCTGTATTCTGAAGCATCCTATCGATAAGACGGATGACGCGGATTCGCTGCAATTGATTATTCCACAATCACAGGTGGGCAGGAAGCACGGTACGTTTTCATCCTCACATGATTACCAATTACCAGCCACACCCCTTGCTCTCTCTCTCTCTCTCTCTCTCTCTCACACACACACACACACACTGACATGAACATGTTCTACCACAGACATCTACATCGCCATGGTGTCGTCGACCCATAATGTCTGCCCCAAGGGCTACTACATCGCCATCGTCTCCACCATTGCGGAAACCGACGCCAACCACCACCTCGAAATTCAACCCGGTCTCGACCGATTAGGAGCCATCGAGGAGCAGTTCATGGGCAAGCCAATTCCGTTGTACGAACCCATCGCAGATGGTAAGGAGGATAATGTCTTCATCAGCAAATCATATGATGCCAGCTCGCACTTTGAGAGCATGACGGCGGACGTGAGAGATTTGTATGCAAGGATTGCAGGTGAGCCACTGGTGGTGGAGGGATTGAAGGAAGGGCAGTCGCTCGAGACTGCAGAGTAAGACAGGAATCGAGGTTGTAGTATCAGATGGAATATGGAGAGTGACGACTCGACTCTGGATACATGTATGGTGTTGCTGCCAGGCGTTCCAAGTTGTGTGTATGTGTTTGCGTGTGCAAGGAAAAGAGAGGGAAGAAGGGTGACGTTATACCATGATATACTCGTAACATACCTTCAGCGGTATTGAATACAGACGAGAGTGATGAACGAGATGAATGCATGATGATGTCCCCTTTGGACACGACTCTTGTCTCCCGTCCTTTGCTGCTTGGTTTCATGATACCCTCTCTCTTCCCTTTCTTTTCAGGGCATTGCAATCATCATCATCATCTTCATCCCCCGTTGAATGACGACGAGAGCGTTGATGGCAGTGCCGGATGAAACATCGAGCCCTGCCAAGCAGCCCAACAGCCCTTTGCACGCGGGAATAGTTACACCCTGTTTCATGTCTGAGATGGTCTGCACTTCTGCACATACAAGCTCAAAGTCTATCAAAGCGCTTCTCTGGACATGAGGTCGGTCTTATTCCCGGAACTGCGATCACATTCATGAAGCTGGAGACGCAGTCCAGTACAGTAAGGTAGGTATGTACCCATCCAGACATTGTGACTCCTGCAGGCACCTGGAAGATGACCTGCACTTCCCGGTCACATCGCAGCAGTGAGTGAGCGAGTGAGTGAGTGAGTGCAATCTGGCATTGCGAACGAAGACATACAGATCACATGGCGCGCTCCGGCGTGGCGACACGTGGTAAACCCCTTGGGCTTCAAATATGGTATAGTATATGTGATATGGTGCCGCGCGGGCGAGCTGATGGCCAGACATCTCTCGGTCCTGGAGTACTATTGTATAACACCATACCTCAGTCCTTTCTAACAACAAGTCGGCTGAAAAGTGACATAATAAGGGCGGCGCAGTACCTCCTAAAACAACGTCGTGGTCTGCGATTACCGGCATGATGCAGCACCGTTGCGCCTGTCTCCCCCATCGACGTGACGGCTGGAGATCTCTTCTGGCCAAGCACTTCTGTGGCCCCGATGCGCTGAGTGCCATGTCTCTTCATTTGGCTGCTGGCGATCGAAGGGTGCACTCTACTAGTCACACGTGGATCACAGTGGCTTCGGGGACTGTCCTGCGAGGCATTGCTATTATAACTGCGCAACGGCCTGGAATCCCTCATGCACCTCAGAACATGGCACCGGCAAGATTGCTAAAAATGTCCTTCATCCTCCTCGCTGGACAGATGCGCGACAAAAGGGCACGAGGCTCCCCCTTCCTTGTTGCTTCTCAACTGATGCCATCCTAACCTTCACTTTCTGTGCCGACTGCACATCCCAACCCATCCCAATCGCTCTCGAAGGTCTGAATTGAATACACTTCGACGGGCCACCGAACGATCATGACCCCGACCGTCGATACAGTTCTGCACGGCCTCTATGAACCACACGAGATCTCTCCCGTCCATCTCAGCACCCGTCAAGACATTGTCCGATACCTGGAGCAAGAAAGGCGGAATGTCGTCTTCGTGATCAGGAGGACAGCTGCGAGGTCTCGAGACGATCCGTTGCACAAGCGACTCCGATACTTTCTCAATATCGTCTCGAAGACGGAAATTGACTTTGACCTCCTCGAAGCGACTGCGGTCTTGCCCACGACACTGTACACCATTTTCAACTACGCCGATCCCGAAGGACGATTCCTGCCGGAGGAAAAGTATTGTGCGAAGCTGTTGTATGCCGATTACTTGTCACAGGGATGGCAAGGACGCACCAAGGCATTCGCATGGTCCAAGGACGAGTGGTACCCATTCATTAAGAACAAACTCGCCATTCCCAATGCCATCAAGGGCCGTGCCAAACCGGATGCCTCGAAGATCACGAGGCAACGCTCCGACTCGGGCGCTGCAAAACGACATGCTCGGCGGAAGGATTCTGTCAAATCTGTCACGTTCAATGATACGACCAGCGTCGTGGAGTTTGATGACAACTCGCCCGATGTGATCCAGCGCGCCTCCTCGTTGGACACCGGGAGAGATCGCCAAGCGCAATCGGTGGAACCGCTGGTCCCGACAGAGCACATGAGGAGACCTGGACAGCGCGCCCCGTCGCCCCTTTTGCCACCACCTTCACCTCGCTTTGTGGAAGTCCCACTTGCTTCACCTCGCTTTGTGGACGTTCCACTTGCTTCACCTCGCTTTCTTGAGGTCCCGGAATGGAAAGGCTCCGAGTCGACCCGCAGACATCGCAGAGACTCCGCCCATGCACCACATCCCCATCTTCCTCCTTCGCCCCGCCAAGACTATCCCGCACGTGGCCAAAGTCCCAATACCGAAAGGCAGCCTCAGGATCGAGCACATTCGACCACTTCTGATTTGCCAGCATCCCCAAAGCTCCCCTCGCCACCTCCTGATGAATTGCGGGAAGAGTCTTCGCCTCGCCAAGTCTCCATTATAACCCCCGTTGCCACGTTCCCCGTGGAAGAGCTGAAACGGAAGCGAGAAGTCACGCTACTGGAGAACATCAATCGATTACGGAGCCAAGTCGAGAGTATCGATATTCAGCAACTTCCAAGAACACCGTGGCTGGAGCACTTGCGCTCGACTCAACACGATCCTTCCTCCGAGCAGGCTCCCAGCACAAAGGAGACTGGCACCGCTGAACAGCCCGTTGTGGAGAGTGAACTTCCACTGGAGTCTCCAAGCACGACGACGTTGGCCGACAGTACCGAGCCAGTTGAGGCAGTTGCAAAGACCGATGACGCCGAGAACAGTCAAGAACTTGAACACGACGGCGGCAGCAGTGAACAAGACAGCAGCACAGAAACGGTCGACAGTATTGAACAGCACAGCGATACGGAATCAGCCATCAGCACCGAATCAGACATCATTACGGAATCAGACATCAGCACGGAACAAGACATCAGCAGGGAACGGCACGACAGCATGGATCACGGTGCTGAACCCGCTGACCAGATCAAAGTTGAGAAGGCCGAAACCACCGAGGAAGATGCTCAACCAGCCAGCCAATGTGATGTGAAAAAAATCAGGCGTTATGCCACACGAGGTCTTCCTGCACTGGGACCTGTTCGTATGCGAATCTGCTCGATTGAGCAGAAGGCCCGGTTACAGCCACAGGTGTGTTCACCGATGCACTCGCCTCTTTGGTGCAGTGGTGGGAAGTAAACCATGCGTTCACATGGAAAAAATGTATTATACCTATGTATTCTCTTTTTACTTACTGTCATGTATAATATAGATAGTTGAACGATTATTTGGATGACCTTGATGAAGAAATTGAACCATTGTCCCATGAGCATCCGCGTTTCCACTCTTAGGTCGCACCACGACGAAGGAGAAGGAGAAGAAGAAGAAGATGATGAAGAAGAAGAAGAAGAAGAAGAAGAAGAAGAAGAAGAAGAAGAAGAAGAAGAAGAAGA